CCAAAAAAAGCTAAGTTGTGAATAAATAATAAACTTAGTGATAATAACTATTATACAGTGATACCTAGAAAACTCTGAAATAAGAAGACGACTTTTAAACTCAAGTTAGGACTTAAACTAGTTCAATGAACATTAGGCATAGCAATTGTACAGCGTAAATAGACCCATTTCACTTTAATGGCGCTTGGCTAAGTCACTAGAAAAATATTTGCTTTATAACAACATCAAAACGCTTAAGTGTTGCTATAATGTCGTCTTTCTATTCCATTAAATAATTAAATTTCTTTCTTTTTTATTTTTACCTTGTCATTGACCATAATATCCGACCAAGCACCAAACTTTCCATTGCTGTGCGCTACATATTTAGCAGTAAATGATATCTAGAAATAACTAAATACAGGCGCTACATATTTAGCAGTAAATGATATTTAGAAATAACTAAATACAGGCGCTACATATTTGCAGTAAATGATATCTAGAAATAGCTAAATACAGGCGCTACATATTTTGCATGTAAATGATATCTAGAAATAATTAAATACAGGCGCTACATATTTAGCAGTAAATGATATCTAGAAATAACTAAATACAGGCGCTACATATTTAGCAGTAAATGATATCTAGAAATAACTAAATACAGGCGCTACATATTTAGCAGTAAATGATATCTAGAAATAACTAAATACAGGCGCTACATATTTAGCAGTAAATGATATCTAGAAATAACTAAATACAGGCGCTACATATTTAGCAGTAAATGATATCTAGAAATAACTAAATACAGGCGCTACATATTTAGCAGTAAATGATATCTAGAAATAACTAAATACAGGCGCTACATATTTAGCAGTAAATGATATCTAGAAATAACTAAATACAGGCGCTACATATTTAGCAGTAAATGATATCTAGAAATAACTAAATACAGGCGCTACATATTTAGCAGTAAATGATATCTAGAAATAACTAAATACAGGCGCTACATATTTAGCAGTAAATGATATCTAGAAATAACTAAATACAGGCGCTACATATTTAGCAGTAAATGATATCTAGAAATAACTAAATACAGGCGCTACATATTTAGCAGTAAATGATATCTAGAAATAACTAAATACAGGCGCTACATATTTAGCAGTAAATGATATCTAGAAATAACTAAATACAGGCGCTACATATTTAGCAGTAAATGATATCTAGAAATAACTAAATACAGGCGCTACATATTTAGCAGTAAATGATATCTAGAAATAACTAAATACAGGCGCTACATATTTAGCAGTAAATGATATCTAGAAATAACTAAATACAGGCGCTACATATTTAGCAGTAAATGATATCTAGAAATAACTAAATACAGGCGCTACATATTTAGCAGTAAATGATATCTAGAAATAACTAAATACAGGCGCTACATATTTAGCAGTAAATGATATCTAGAAATAACTAAATACAGGCGCTACATATTTAGNTAAGCATATATCCTATCCTCTATATCCACTATAAGCATTTATCCTATCCTCTATATCCACTATAAGCATATATCCTATCCTCTATATCCACTATAAGCATATATTCTATCCTCTATATTCACTATAAACATCTATCCTATCCTTTATATCCACTATAAGCATCTCTCCTCTCCTCTATATCTACTATAAGCATCTATCCGCTCCTCTATATCCACTATAAGCATCTATCCTATCCTCTATATTCACTATAAGCATCTATCATATCCTCTATATCCACTATAAGCATCTATCGGCTCCTCTATATTCACTATAAACATCTATCCTCTCCTCTATATTCACTATAAGCATCTCTCCTCCTCTCCTCTATATCCACTATAAGCATATATCCTATCCTCTATATCTACTATAAGTATATATCCTATCCTCTATATCCACTATAAGTATATATCCTATCCTCTATATCCACTGTAAGCATATATCCTTTCCTCTATATTCACTATAAGCATCTATCCTNTAAGCATATATTCTATCCTCTATATTCACTATAAACATCTATCCTATCCTTTATATCCACTATAAGCATCTATCCTATCCTCTATATCTACTATAAGCATCTATCCTCTCTTCTGTGTCTACTTTAAGCATCTATTCTATCCTCTAAAAGCTCAACTATATCCTCTCTTATATATTCACAATAAGCATCTATCCCTATATTGACTGAAATGGCTCCGTGATGCTCCTCTAAAGTATAAAATTGCATCATTAGTTAAAGGAATGCAGGGGAACCTCCCTAAACCAGTCCTTGAGAAAACTATACCTCATTCCTCTAATCCTCACTATCTCACCGCAAACCTATCTCTGTAACTCACCCCTCCCCCCCTCCTCCTGCATCACAACAACCTCCCAACTCTGCATCACAACACCCTCCCTACTCTGCATCACAACACCCTCCCTACTCTGTATTACAACACCCTTCTTACTGTGTATCACAAGACCATCCCTACTTTGTATCACAACACCCACCCTACTTTTAATAACAACACCCTCCCTACTCTGTATTACAACACCCTCCCTACTCTTAATAACAACACCCTCCCTACTCTGTATTACAACACCCTCCCTACTCTCTATCACAACACCCTCCCTACTCTGCATTACAACACCCTCCCTACTCTGTATTACAAAACACTACCTACTCTTTATCACAACACCCTACCTACTCTGTATTACAACACCCTCTGCATTACAACACCCTCCCTACTCTGTATCACAAAACCCTCCCTATTCTGTATTACAACACCCTCTGCCTTACAACACCCTCCCTACTCTGTATTACAACACCCCCCTACGCTGTATTACAACACCCTCCCTACTCTGTATCACAACACCCTCCCTACTCTGTATCACAATACCCTCCCTACTCTGTATCACAATACCCTCCCTACTCTGTATCACAACACCCTCCCTACTCTGTATTACAACACCCTCCTTACTCTGTATCACAACACCCTCCTTACTCTGTATTAAAACACCCTTCCTACTCTGCATTACAACACCCTCCCTACTCTGTATCACAACACCCTCCCTACTCTGTATCACAACACCCTGCCTACTCTGTATTACAAAACCCTCCCTACTCTGTATTAATACACCCACCCTACTCTGTATCACAACACCCTCCTTACTCTGTATTACAATACCCTCCCTACTCTGTATTACAACACCCTTCTTACTCTGTATTACAACACCCTTCTTACTGTGTATCACAACACCCTCCTTATTCTGTATCACAACACCCTCCCTACTCTGTATCACACTTCTCTCCCTATGCTGTATCACAACTCTGTATCAGCAACCAAGAAAAACAATCAATCAATCAATTTTGAAGAACACAACAGTGCTTACTGTTAAATAAGTAATTGTTTTCTTAAAAAAAAAAAATTTTTCTCACAAAATGTCTGGCTTTAAGTCTTTTGAGTACGTACTTTTCATTCTCTGACAGTTTGTTGAAAACAATGTTGATTACAGAATAAAGTCTTGTATTAAATATGTAGACTGCTCCTTTAACTTTTCCTTCTCTGAGTTGCCTTATTAGGAATGTTGTTTATACGGATATACTGTCTGGTGCGCGTACTTTAATACTGCGTGCATGATGTGCACTGTTGCAATCTGCACTCGTCATTAGTTCGCAATATTCAGATTAACGAACCTATGCACACAAACAAACCAACATGCACACAAACACACCCTCCAGATTATTCGTGAACACACGCGATCTTTTCTTTATAATATTTAAGTATTCATTTTTAAATCATAAGCTAGCTAGCTACTGCAATTTGAACTCTTAGCAAATAGCTAGGAGCGAGCCTACGCCCCCCCCCCCCCTAAAAAAAGGATCTTTAAAGTTTTTTTTTAAATTTTAGAATATTATTTTTTAAGAGAAGATCTTTCTGCTTTTTCTCCTGATCTAAGGAAAAATGCTATTTTAAAAAATCTTCAATTCAAGCCCCTTCACATGTAGTGCAAAAGCATTATTTGTTATTCTAAACACTTTTTGAAAGGTAAATGACATGAGGAATGCAAAAAAGATTTAAAATGATGTTCTTACGATGATTGGCTACATTGTTGGATAGATTTCCATACTCAAGGCATGGAATTTCTGGTGCTAAATCAAGAGATCTACAAGTCATCGGTCAGCAGTATTTTTAGATAGAAGTTGCTTACAAACCCAACTTAAACCACAGTACTATGGCCAGGTTTTTAATATAAATAAACTTTTTAAATCTTTCGGGCTTCAATAGACCCTCTTTTTTAATTTAGAGCATGACACTGACATTTTTGCAATTTAAAAAACAACCATCGTTAAAACTTGCTAATTATTGTACTTTATTATGTTTAGTTGTGTTTTTAACATTAAAACTCACAAATATATTGAAGTAAATCTGTGCCAATCTGAAACCCCCAAATGTCTAAATGATAAATAATATGCCGGGTTAATTGGTAAAATGAACAATTTATTTATTAAATGTATTGGAAAATTGTAAAAATATTCACCATTAAATGAAATGATGCACAAAAAGAAAGAGGAATACAGAAAATAAAATCAAAGTTGCAGATAATGACAGTTAAGAAGATCTAGAAGCGCTGCGTAAAATGTACATATATTAATAAAGTTAACATATGAACATCTTCATTTCACATTTATCATGACTCAACCTGAATCCGGAAACACAATAATAATATACTATTATTATTATTATCTTATTGTACGTAATGGGTACCTCAACAACAACTCAACCTCCCACAGAATTCATTATACCTACCCCCCCCCCCCCTCCTTTCACCCCCTCATTCATCTATATCTATCTTTAGTATAACCTGGAGGATGTGATGAGCATCTATATAATAATACGTTAAACATCACTTCTCAACTCATTTCATTTCATCCAGTCATTTTCTCAAATATTCATCCTTCCCGTTTTCATTCTTAAAACCCCTTAACTTCATCCAATTTAATTGATTAATCAATTTTCAGTGATTAGTTTTATATATATTTCATCATTACATATAAAGTTGATAGTTGTTTACATGAAGGAAGGTATATCAGCTACTTTACGTACTGTAAAGTGTACATCATGGTCGTCATCACTACAGACAGTACAGTCAAGGAGTAAAACAAGGAAAATATATTTGAGTAAAGAATCCTGAAGCGAAAAGTTAAAAGAGTAACTTTGAATGAAAATATAACAGAGTTTTATTTTAGGAAGAAAATTAAAAGACAAATAAATAAGATAATAATTAAAATAAAAAATTATGTATATTAAAATTGCTCAACACATTTTCGAAACCCGGGTTCTAATGCCGGGGTTCAAGACAATACAATAGGATAAATTTAGGGCTCTACAGAGCCCGAAATTTAAAAGAGTATCGTTGAACGAAACTCCCGAGTTTCCTTTTTGGGGTCTTAACATTTGTGTAGATTTTGATTTAAGAGATTCGAAAAAAATGGAGAATATAAATCAAGTGAAAAAAATAATATTTTATTACAAAAATATTGATATTCATAAAACTGCCTAACCCCATTTGTGAAACCCGGGTTTTAAAACTGGTTTTCATAACGATACCCTGTCTTAAGTTTTGGGCTCTGGTTTAAAATGAAAAAAATAACGTACTGAAAATGTAAACATTAAAATCTTTAGTCAACAGATCTAAAATGTGATTAAAGGAATTGAGTCTTAGTCACAAACTCTGATTTTCTAATCCCTTTATCTTTGCAGTCCAATGTTGTTGAAATTTGACATTTCAATCTATGACTTATGATAGATCAAATAATATAAATTTGAAATATCAAAGGTTTACGACTTAGGGTTCAAAAGATATAGGGATTAGAAAATCAGAATTTGTGGCAAGGACTCAATTCCTTTTTGATGACATTTTTAAAAAGTGTTCATTGTACAGTTCCTGTGTATGTAGCTGCTTCCATCCTTGTTGAATTGTACACGTACTGTATCTGCAGCCCTGTACAGAGTACAATAGTGTGTAAACGTATTGCTGTTGAAAAAAAGAGCTCATGTTATGATTGACGGTACTGTACATAACAATGTTGTACTGCTTTCTTCTGAACTGTTCTCTTTTTTATCGTTTTATTCTAGCAGGGTTACCCACAAATAATGAGAATTCAAAGACGACTGTACGGAATTTACACTCTCTGTTTCCTTATATTCATGAATCCCTGCAACTTGTTTCTTTCTTTGATAAATCATTAAATAATCCATTTTAATACTAATTTAAGGCAGAACAATCAATTAACCCTTGGGGTCTGATCGTATTTGAAAAGTTTCAGGTCGTCTTTACAGTCTCATCCTTTGTGGGTGACCTTTTATTTTTACCTAAGGATATGAAGAAGAATAACTGTATGAGTACTGCTCTCTGTTCTACTGTTTCCATTGTATTCGCTGAAATTACAATATCACAATATCGAGCTCACAATATCAATATCACAATATCAATATCATAATATCAATATCACAATATCAATATCACAATATCAATATCACAATATCAAGGTCACAATAATATTCAATAAGATTATTTTATCATCATTCAAATTTACTTGACCAAGGGTCACAAAATCAGAGAAAACTTTTTGTTTACATTACAACTTTATCATCTTTTTACGGAATTTTTAAAGAAAACTGCGCAAAGCAGGATGTTCAATTTGATTTTCCTAAGGTACAAGTTCATTAATTTAAAATTAGTTACTTTTATATGTTATCTACTACAGTACATAGTAAACGTAAACCAACATCAGGGTTTTAAAGATTATAAATAATTATATTATTGAAATTTTTTATTCGGATTTAGCAATAATTGAAGAAGAAATTACCGTTGTGAGTCCCCCACAACCTGAAAATAGACGTTTCTTATATATCAATCTTTGTATTTAACTTTTATCTTTTTTTTCAAATTTTTTATCTGTGACTTGGCTTGTAAGGAGTATTCCATTTTGGAAAAATATTTTCATATATTAGAAGATAATAATAATTTTAATCGAAAAAAAATTTGTGAACTACACTGATAACTAGAAAACTCTGAAATAGTAAGACAACTTTTAGAATCAAATTATAACAGTAAAAAGTCCATTGTATAACAATATTATTGTAAAATACAGAGAAAATGTAACAGTCACACCAAATAGTAGAGTATGTACTAGTAAAATTGTTGTACGAAAGGTTGGTCGTAATATCACCAAAAAATAGCTAAGATGTGAATAAACAATAAACTTAGTGTGAATAACTATTATACAGTGATACCTAGAAAACTCTAAAATAGGAAGACGACTTTTAAACTCAGGTTAGGACTTAAACTAGTTCAATGAACATTAGACATAGCAATTGTACAGTGTAAATAGACCCATTTCACTGTAATGGTGCTTGGCAAAGTTACTAGTAAAAATATTTGCTTTGTAACATCAAAACGCTTAAGTATTACCATAATGTCGGCTTTCTATTCCATTGTTTTCTGGTTATCACTGTATTTAAATTTCTTGTTTTTGTTTTTACCTTGTCATTGACCATAATATCCGACCAAGCACCAAACTTTCCATTACTGTGCGCTACATATTTAGCAGTAAATGATATCTAGAAATAACTAAATACAGGCGCTACATATTTAGCAGTAAATGATATCTAGAAATAACTAAATACAGGCGCTACATATTTAGCAGTAAATGATATCTAGAAATAACTAAATACAGGCGCTACATATTTATCCTCCCCAGACTCATATCTTTTTTAATAAGAAAATGTTTGAAGACGACATTACAATTCTTATTTTGAAGAAATTACTGAACCTGATAAATACCAGGCTGGGAATCTGCTGTAGTAAATATTCCTGTTGCAGGATTCATGGAACCATTCGTAGTATCCACTAGATATATCATACTATTGCTTTCTACGTTAGAAACATGATCAGTAGTAAAAACATGTTCATTAGTAAAACATGATCATGAGTAAAAATATGATCATGAGTGAAAACATGATCATTAGTAAAAACATGATCATGAGTAAAAATATAATCATGAGTAAAAACATGATCATGAGTAAAAGCATGATAATGAGTAAAAACATGATTATGATTTAAAAGCATGTTCATAAGTAAAAACATAATCATGAGAAAAAAATATCATTATTAAAAACATGATCATGAGTTAAAATATGATCATGAGTGAAAACATGATCATAAGTAAAAACATAATCATGAGTAAAAACATGATCATCAGTAAAAACATGATCATGAGTAAAAACATGATAATGAGTAAAAACATGATTATGAGTAAAAACATGATAATGAGTAAAAACATGATTATGAGTTAAAAGCATGTTCATAAGTAAAAACATAATCATGAGAAAAAACATATCATGATTAAAAACATGATCATGAGTTAAAATATGATCATGAATGAAAACATGATCATAAGTAAAAACATAATCATGAGTAAAAACATGATCATGAGTAAAAACATGATCATAAGTAAAAACATGATCATGAGTAAAGACATGATCATGAGCAAAAACATAATCAAAAGTAATTCCAGGGGGCGGAAACGTCATGTGTGTGTGTCTGTACCAAAAGAGTGTGTGTAAGGAATACCGAACCGAAGGTGTGTACTGTAGGTACATACGGTACATAAGAATCTCGGTATTTGTACAGTCTAGGAGAGTACATTTGTTATTGTTATTGTTAATTGTTTACTTAAAAATAAGTTTAATATGCATGTAATATATTATTTACATATTTAAGTCAACACTATAAAGCCAAATTTTCATGCAAAGAATATAATTTGATTAAAGTTTACAATAAACCACTCGTTATTCAACTTTAATTATAATTGACGACATTGTTCTGCAATTTCCTTGACTGTAGTCATGTTGTGTGTCTGCATCAAAAGAGTGTGTGTAAGGAATACAAGATATAAAAGTTTAATACTTGATGACTCTCAATGTTTGTGCTTTATCAATATAGTTCATCTTTAGAGTGCAAACTCTTTTAAAATAATTGGGTTAAAGCATTAATGACTTCTGTATCAGGCAGTGCATATGAAAGGTTGCAAGTATATAAGTGCTGCGTCAGCATTTTATTATATCTGAGAATTTATGTTTAATACATATATATATAAATACTAGGCTCTTAAGGTCCTCACATCATCCAGACAGAACAAATACTAGGCGGAGAGAACATCAGAAATATGAAGACGACATTTAAAAAATTATTTTCTTTATTTTCCTGGGGTAAGCATATATACTACACTAATCATCATGGAAACACTCCATAAATTATCAAATGATGATAGATTTTAATACAAAAGTAAGAATTTTATCTTATTGTAGGAAATAAACTTAACAGTGAGTCACTTCAAAATTCTTTCCTGATTTATGAAATCACAAAAATAGCAAGAAACTAATTGCATGTTAAATGTACATGTAGTACAACTATTCTGTAGTATTAGTAAAAAATACAGAATTTTGTAAACATTTGCATTAAAAAGGGACACAACTATTTAACTAAGTATCCTAATTGAACAAATATGCATACTCTTTATAGAATGTCGTCTTCTAAATATATTCGAACTGGATTATGTGCGCCTATTAACAATTTTAGTTTTTAATGTTGCTCTGAAAGTCGCCACTTTTCTGTAGACTAAAAAGCTTAAAAGCACTTTTTAGAGACACCCGGTATAAACTGGAGAATATTCACTATACTTTATATTTTGTAAACAGATGATAAAAGTCTAAATATGGAAGTTGGATATAACCTACAGTGAAACCCTTAATAACGAATACATCGAAAGAATTGATCAAATGTCGTATTCTTCACTTTCTGATAATGTAATGTTGCAAATATTTAGTTTTTTAATTAAATGATTATATGGAACTCTTTAAAACTGTTCCCGCATATTCATGGCTATTTATTTATTTTCGCAAATACTGAAATTTACGTAATAAAGTATAAAATTCATATAACAATTGTCGAGACGACATTTAATAAATTCTTCCGATGTATTCGTTATTAAGGGTTTCACTGTAGCATACTGCCTCAAGAAAGAACTTTTCTTTCCTTCTGCTTAGTAACGAACAAAAATTATGGCTTACACAACACAAAATGCATACGTTGCGTACTATTACACAGGGTCAGAAATAATTAAAATTTATTTTATCTTAAAAAAGGTGAAAATAGTGAAAATCTAATAGATTTTAATTTTTACCTAGACAAGTATTATAAGTTATTATTCCTCGATCATGCAGCCTACTCGTCCTGAAATTAAGATGATAGTAATGATAATAATGATAATAATAATAGTTTAACTCAGAACTTTGGAGATATGGAAAGAATTTATATAATGTCGTCTTGATAATTTTCAATGGGGTTTATACTATAGGGTGTCCCAATAAACATGGGAATTCAGTGACGAAATAGATATCGTCTTTTTAAATAATTCTTTGATTTAGTACAGTGATACCTACTGAGAAAGCTGTTATCAGTAAGAGTTTCGTCTGCTTTGTTCACATTTTGTTTGTTTATGTTTTGTACTTAGTAAAACAAGAAAATTGCAGTATACAATAGAGTAAACTTGTCCGTCTTCACTGTTCATCATGCGGAGACATTATAGACACATCTTTAGAATCTTTTAACCTTTTCATAAAATAAACTCTAGCAGACATAATACTATTATGGCTTTTGAAATTAGGTATTACAATGCTAATTCGTAACAAAGACGATATCAAATTCTTCACTGAATTCCAATGTTTTTTGGGACACCCTGTATCATAACTAAAACTCATTAATTGTAAAAATAATTAATAGCCATGAAATATGCGGGAACAGTTTTAAAGAGCTCCATAAAATTATTACATTAAAAAACTAAATATTTGTAGCTCATTCCATTCTCAGAAACTTAAAAATGACATTTTATTTATTCTTTTGATATCACTTAGTTATATTCAAAGTTATAATCAAGTAACAACATTTTTTTTATCAATAACAGAAATAAAAATAAGAAAAATAACAAGACTAATATTATTAAAACAAAAAATTTAATAAAAATAGCAGCATACCTTGAGCAATCAAACATTGGCCAGATAGGTTCACTTTTCTCCTAGAAAAATTGTATAATAATATTTGAAGTTTATATGTCGTCTTTTTCTTAAAATTTTTTTCAAAAAACTGAATTCAGGAGCCCACAATTAATTTTAACTTTAAAGAGTGTGCATAGTGCATACCAACCCCCTCCCCTGCCCTGTTTACATATTTAATTTTACCTGCTTCTTAGTTAGAATATCTATTGTTAATGTATTCAGTTTCATTTCCAGATCATTCAGTCTCACTACTGCCTGATTAATAAAACATTTATTCTCACTACTGCCTGATTAATTAAACATTTATTCTTAGTAGTGCCTGATTAATAAAACATTTATTTTCACTACTGCCTGATTAATTAAACATTTATTCTTACTACTGCCTGATTAATTAAACATTTATTTTCACTAATGCCTGATTAATAAAACATTTATTCTCACTACTGCCTGATTAATAAAACATTTATTCTCACTACTGCCTGATTAATAAAACATTTATTCTCACTACTGCCTGATTAATTAAACATTTATTTTAATTACTTGGGAAAAAAAATATTGAAAAGTTGAGAAAATTTCTATAATTTTATTTAAATTATAATAAATTAAATTTGTTAAAATATGGACTAAATTAATAAAACCATGTCAATTTTATTTTACCTCATCCGTTTTGTTATCTATCTGTCTGGAGATTATCTTCAGAAGAAAAAATATGTTAAATTTGAATATATTTTTTTTGATGTATTTTAAACAATCTGTGTAAAATTATTTAAATGTTTTGAGCTAAATTTATTACTTATCAGAATGTTCTCAAAAAATATCAAAAAAAGAAAATATTGGTTATTTCGAGGAATCACGGATTATCTTTTTTACTCACACAAATATCAATTGATAATTTATAAAATCTTTTAAAATTAATATAACATATTTCCTCAATTTTGTTGGACATCTGGTCTGTGCAATACAGACAGTACATCGATAGTAACAGTGCTGTTCAGTGTTATCATGTACATTTTACAACATATACTACATATAGCATGTGGATGGTGAAACAAAAAAAATATTTTCTTGGGATTTTGAGCTGTATTTAATGAATACTAATATGAGAGCCATCCGACGCTGCAAAAATACATTTTTATTCTTTTTTATCTAATGAATTAATTAAAAGAACTGAGTTTTGCCACAAACTTAGTTTTTTTAACCCCGATATCTTTGCAACTCCATATTGTGGACGAGACCTGAGACTGAAAGTCTTCGGTGTTAAATGTTTTAACTGTGAAACAACAAAATCATGTTTACGAAACAAAGATGAACAAAAATGAACAAAGGTACTGATGTATTAGGGTTGTTCCTTAGTTTATGAACTGCTTCATGTGTACTGTAAATAATCATTTTAAATCAAATATTCATGTACAGGCGCCGTCGTATATATCAATACAATGAAATCGACTTTATATTTAATTTTAATTTCTACCAATCTGTTATAAACAGCAGAGACACACAAACATGACAACAAAGAGCTTAACAGTGTTTCTTCGTTTTCTTGTAAACTTTGAAAATTGCTTGAAAATTTGAAAATGTTTGTTGGTGATCAAATCATTATTAATAAAAAATCGTACTCATTGTATTTATATAATCGCCGACCATTGTACTTTTTCAAAGATTGAGGCGGGACATTTTAAGGTTGGATCGGGATTTAAACTGAACAAGTGATAAGTGACAAGTTAGGCTAAATATATCCAGCTGGGACATTAAAGTGTGGTTTGAGACGTTTAAAGTTCTTGAGTATGGATGTGGAAGGAAAATAAAGCCGGAATATAAAAAATGTTTGTACAAGAAACATCCCTAGAAGTACTGAAGAAGATAAAACTATCGTATTTAGGTACAAATATGTTCCAGCAATCTTAAACCTTAAAGGGACTGTGAGCGTAATGTCAAGTGACCTCCCATTTAAAGATGGGTTTCCCCGATTCCCAACAGTACCCTTAAAACCTTTTAGTCTTCAAGGATGAAAGACTTTTCCTTATTTATCTGCAGAAACCCCTATAATTGTTTGCAAGCTGTTTTATATTTAAGGAATATTAATGTTTACTTTCTACTAGTGGCAGCATATAAAAATATTAATTTTTAAAAAACCGCATTGGACATAAAATTTTCTTGATTTTCTAAGAATAAATCTGACGTCATCCGTGTTGAGCTCACACACTACGCTAGCGTAAACTCCAATTTTACGGCTTTTTACACAACATTTGAGAGACATATACACTGAGTTCTCTGTCCTCGATGATCAATTAAAGGTTTTTTCTAGAATTTTTAGGATCTTTTAAACAGATCATAACTTGGTCTGTCTTTTGATATAATTTAAATATTTTTTAGTTTTATATTCATAATAAATCTTTTTTACATTTTGAAATGTTTTAGTAATAATAAATTATGCAATTATACCCTTAGAGCAACATTTTTAAAGGATCTCTTCTGTTCCTTTAATTCGTCTTTTTCTGTTCCCTTGGGCAGTATTTTTCTTATTCTATAGCCTGAAGGATGTTAATGAATTAATTATACTTTTTTTTTCTCTGCTGAAATAAATTTGTGTAAAGTTTTTCAATGTTTCTGATGAGAATGTGGACTGAATTATTCTATCCATAAGGGAATCATGAAGTACAGCATTATAAATGGCTTGTGAGGGCACATTTGAATTTCAGAATTTATCAAGGAAGGTTTTAATCTCTTCTTTGTTACATATATGTACGAACTTCATCGCCGATTTAAAGATTAATTTTGTTCAATTATCCATAGTTTACGAACCTAAAACTAAAAATACAATTGTTTACCGTTCACCCTTTTATAGTTCTCCTATCTTTGCAACCCATGTAAAGCTTGGATATTTCAAACTTAGATTAATTGATCCATCATAATTCATAGTTTTAAATATCTAAGGTCTACGACATGTACTGTACATGGAATTGGTTTTTTGATTAAATCCAACCCATAGTTTGCTTCCTTTCATAAAACCTTATTACCAATAAAGTTTTTGAGCGGACTAAGGACGGATTCTATTCTCTTAATAGAAACTATTGATGAAAATAAAAATGGTTTCGTTTCTATTCCATTTTTTCGTAAAAGTTCCCTTTTTTCACAATTCAGTTTAAAAATGTATGTTTAGGGCAATTTTTCCTGAAAACATACCTCTGCGAGATCAAATAAAAAATCTAAAACACTCTTTTTTAGAAAATTTCTTTGTGATCAATTTTGGTAATGATTTTGGAATTAAAGGTTATTTTTATTGTTTTCTTAATTTGTTGGATCTTTTTATTTACGACCAAGAGTACTACTTATTATGCATTAACAATGAGAGCATTGTGGTCAAGGTTGTAATTCAATGAAAGTTAATTGCAGTTGCGTATACTCTGCGTACATATTGTAACCAGTTCTCTCTGGGCGGAATTTGTAAACAAGAATAGATGCATCAGTGTTCGTTTAGTATCCGAGGAGGTTAAAGGCAATAAATTTTGATAATTTTGATAATTCACATAATAGTTTCCTATGAACAGAATATTTCAATGATTTTTTATGTGCAAGATGGATCCAATGTCGGGCTTCGACATCTGTCTGGTGTTTACATTACCACCCAGAGACTGCAGTACAAAAGATGCGTACACCTCAGAAATAACTTTCCTTGCAGTATAACCTTGATTGGGGTAAGCCAGGCCGGTACTAGAGTACTGCAGTATGATTTTGAAAATATGTTTATTGTTTATCTTCGTTCTTTCGGAAAATACAAATTTCCATTCCGTTGGTTTAGTACAGGCATAGTTTGGACCGAAGTAGATATCCTCTATCTATCTATCTAGACATCATTCTGTCCTCCAGTCTTTAGCTGGCCTCTGAAGACACAGGATATCTACCAGAGGTTATCTAGATATCCAACTAGGGATAACTGGATATTAAATGAGATATATTTCTATATCCGTGGATACGAAGGGACAAGCATGAAACTAATCCTACACTTTTTACATGTCTCCCTGAAATTATGCAAATTTTACTTATCTTAAAATAATCGTTGCTTTAATTTTGCCAAATTTCATATTTTTAATTATGAATTCATTATGAATTTATGAAAGGTCCTGTATTCTTTGACAATACGGAAGTATGTTCTATAAACTCTGATTTTTGTATCCTTTAGCCGAATGTCGAAGACCTTTGATATTTCAAACTATAAATTGTGTTAAATCAAATAATCTGAGTTTGCACCTTTAGAATATATAGCCAGGGGTTTGAAATGTCCTATATTTTTGTCGATTTATGTTGCTGAGAGAGTATTATTGAGTTAATCTTGGAAATATTTATACAATAACATTGCACGACACCAAAAGTAAATTTTTTTCGGTGAAACCATTTTTTTCTTTTCTGCACACACTTAATGCAAAAATTGAATTCTCAGTACATTTTCATACTTCCATTTAGATAGAGATTCAACTTTTGTAGTAGTCTATATCTTTGTCTGGTTCAAAATAAAAGTTAGAACCAGTTTTGATATTTCAAACTATAAATTGTGTTAAATCAAATAATCTGAGTTTGCACCTTTAGAATATATAGCCAGGGGTTTGAAATGTCCTATATTTTTTGTCAATTTATGGTGCTGAGCTGAGTATTATTGAGTAAATCTTGGAAATATTTATAAAATAACATTGCACAACACCAAAAGTAAATTTTTTTTGGTGAAACCATTTTTTTCTTTTCTGCACACACTTAATGCAAAACTTGAATTCTCAGTACATTTTCATACTTCCATTTAGATAGAGATTCAACTTTTGTAGTAGTCTATATCTTTGTATTGTTCAAAATAAAAGCTAGAACCAGTAGTCTATATCTTTGTCTGGTTCAAAATAAAAGTTAGAACCAGGAGTAGTCTATATCTTTGTCTGGTTCAAAATAAAAGTTAGAATTAGATTTTGTCTGGTTTAAAATAAAAGATAGAACCAGGAGTAGTCTGAATTTTGTTTGGTACAAAATAAAAGTTAGAACCAGGAGTAGTCTGAATTTTGTCTGGTTCAAAATAAAAGCTAGAACCAGGAGTAGTCTATATCTTTGTCTGGTACAAAATAAAAGTTAGAACCAGGAGTAGTCTGAATTTTGTCTGGTTCAAAATAAAAATTAGAACCAGGAGTAGTCTGAATTTTGACAGTTTCAAAATAAAAGTTAGAACCAGGAGTAGTCTATATCTTTGTCTGGTACAAAATAAAAGTTAGAACCCGGAGTAGTCTGAATTTTGTCTTGTTCAAAATAAAAGTTAGAACCAGGAGTAGTCTGAATTTGTCTGTTTCAAAATAAAAATTAGAACCAGGAGTATACTGAATTTTGTCCGGTTCAAAATAAAAGTAAGAAGGGTAGGAGTAATCTTAATCTTTATCTTGTTGGAACTTAAAGTTAGAATTATGTAAAATTAGAACCAGGAGTAATCTTAATCTTTGTCCGGGTCAAAAACAGTACAAGTCTGTTGTTAGTTAAAAATCTGGATTGTAAAAACTAAGAAATCTGGTGAGAAATGTAGAATTAAAGTTTGCATTGTAGCGCGTGATAGAAGAAGGAAATAAAGTTTTAAAAAAGTTGAAAAAGTAAAAAGTTTCTAAGAAGACTAAATAATTTGTTTGAATGCCAGTACCCTATATATTGTATGAACCCTGATAGTATTACTCAGGCCGGGTCTATTATATAGTATATACCCTGTGAAAGAAGTACTTGATGGGATCCGGTAGAACTTTAGGCCCCTCCCCACTTTTCCGACCTTATCCCTCCCCCCCTCCCCATCTCCTTCCCTTTTCTAATTCTAATTCTACAGTCACTGTTCCTTTCTCTTAAACTTATGTTTTCTAATAAACACAGTTTCAAAAAGCTTTCTTTGCAAAATAACGGTTAGCCCACTGCAAAAACGAAACTTTACTGCATCAGAGGATCTTTCAAACTTCAGATGTTTCATTTTAGATGATATACAAGGTTTAAAAACTTGCACCATTAGATCAGAAATTGTTCATAGATAATATTAATATAGACAAAAAAAACGAATAATGGTTTAAAATTAGAGCTCTGGCATCAACTATAGTTTTTTAAGGGACACCCTGTAAAAACTCTTACTTTTTACCTAATACATCACGTACAATGTATATTCCTACCTATAGTTATCGATAAAGGAAAAGAGTATATATTATTGAAAAAACAATATTTGCAATTCTTCTCAGAATCAGCAAATCAAATGTTTGCGATCGTTTATTTGATTTTGAATAATGGGCGTGAAAACCCTCCTCAAATTCTATTTTTTTTTAATCTCTTTGAAACCTGATGACACAAACCTTTCACTTTTGAGTTTTTGATTTGTGGCCGAATTCATCGTTTAAAATATCAAAGATCTAAAACTAAATCAGGTTGTCAAGATATTGCGATTAGAAAGATAGACTTGAGAAAAATATTCAGCTCACAAAATTTGTTAGATCCTTTTTTTAATAGAAAAAGGCACAAACTTTCTAGCCTCTCTAAGATATATCTATTAAATTCATCAAATTTTAGGCAGCCTTGAAATAAAAGTGTCACAACGACTTGGCCGTCGGCTCTATCTGGCAAAATACGGCTCAATTTTGGCATGAGAGTGTGCACATCTTGGTTTACAGTGGCATCATAAGTTGTCAATATTACCTTCGTTAAGCAATAGTTATCTCCAGTGCTCCGATCCCTTAAACATTAGATCAATTTGGTCTCAAAAATAGTGTTCACATGAAGAAATAATACGTGTACTTCCGAAATTTGTTTATTCTATTGGAAGTTGGGACGGATTGATTTTAAAGTTATGGACAAGGTATTTTGCCACCTTTGCCTTTCTTCAGTGTTCTCATTTAAACTTAACTGCATGCAATAAATTTAAAACAAAAACAAGATGCATTGTCAGAATGCAAATGCATAAAGGTAATCATGGTGTTGACTCTAAAATTCTGATAGACCTTCTATCATAATTTGATTTATAATTTCAGATAATAATTTGGCTCATTCGTTTCAATTGAAAACTTTTTGTTGGCAGGGAATGGTCCTAGTATTAGAGGTAAAATCTATATATTCTTGAAATATGTCATTTTTAAAAGTGAAATTCAACGCAATTACAAGTGATCCTCCATTTAAAGATTTTCATACATAATTAAAAAAGATGGAGATAACAGTGTTTTTTTTTCTAAAAATTGATAATTTTAATTGAGTTTTCTACAGACAAACGATAAACAGTTCTAAAAGTTACTGTTAAAAATCGGACATTGATTTCTATAAATAATGGGTTACTTGAAATTATGTCGACATTTCCTTTAATCAGATTACTGCCGTGATACATTAATGTAATAATAAATCTTTGTATTATTATTATAATATTAGGTTTCTGCAAATTAGTAATATGTATCTACCATCTTGTAATAGAGTTGTAGGATTATAGCCAGATACACAATATATATTATATATATACAATATCTTGATGAGGAACTGTTTATAGAACATTTATCTTTTATATAACTTTTCCTTGTTCACTTGTTTGGATCCAATAAACGTGAAACGGCTAAACCAACAGGGCTAAAAGTTCAAATGAACTAAGGACTTAGGATTTAAAAATATCAGACTTAAAATACTCGGATTTTTTACATTTAAAAATTCACTAAAGAATCAGAAATCTGTTAGTTTTTGTTTAAATCTTCATTTAAAGAATTTAAAAGTTATCTAGATCAGAGGCGTACTCAGGGGGGACTATGGGGGCTCACCCCCCCCCCTGGACCAGTAAAATCTATGGATTTCAGGTTGCTGAAACCCCCCTCTGAAATAAAAAAAAAATCTTGACTACGCCCCTGATCCAGATAAAGAGAGTTGGCAAGGTTCAACGATAATAAATGTGCGGATAGGTTTTTAAGGCTAAAATTTTACAAGGTTTACAAGATTTACAAGGTTTACAAGATTTACAAGATTTACAAGATTTACAAGATTTACAAGATTTACAAGGTTTACAAGGTTTACAAGATTTACAAGATTTACAAGATTTACAAGATTTACACAAGGTTTACAAGATTGACAAGGTTTACAAGGTTTACCAGGTTTAAAAAGTAGGTCTATTACAGGCGAATAATAAATATACTTTTGTAAACTCTAGTCTGAAACTCCCAAGGGAAATATATGAAGTACAAACTGCCAACAGCAAACCAACCCAAACCAAAATAAACCAAACCAAACCAACTAAACCCAAACCAAACCAAACCAAATGCAGCAAAACATATCTAACCTAGCGAAATACACTTATATAAAAAATATTGAAGACCATAAACTGAACCAAACCTTAGAAAACGTAGCATAACACAATCCGATATATGCAAAAATAAAATATGTAGAAACAGAGCAAACCAGAAACTCTGAAAATTCTTCGAACATGCAAAACTAAAAGCTATTAAGAACACTTGAGCAACTTAAAAACAAAGTTTCTAAGCAAACAAAAATTAAAAGGTAAAAATTCCGACACAATATAACAAAAATGCCCTAGAATACCTGAAAAGTTCAGAATTACAAATACACAAGAAAAACATCAAACTTACCGCGCGACAGATACGTTCATCAGAGCTAAAAACTTTAGAATTATGAATATCGGGATCAATGGTTAATCTTATCTTTTTGTAAATTTCAAGTTTTATTTAATTTTAAATTTTTATCAATAAAAGTGTATATAACTCAACCAATCGATTGGAGTTTTTGGGAAACCAGAACAGCCAATCAGAAATCTGAAATTTTGCGCGCCAACTAATGCGTGAACTCTTATTGGTCGGAAACTGGCAGGGAGAGAAAAAGAAAGAAAAAGAGCGGGTTAAGAAGGAAATTAAAATTGTGTCCACCTTGGATATTCAGATTAAGCAATCGGGATTAAAGGTATCCAGTTCTGAAGTTTTCAGCTCTGATCAAACAAATTTAATCATCATCAACAACAACAACAACAACAACAACAACAACAAACAAAACGATTTTTATAAGACGGAATATAAATACATTTTTCTTCAGAAATTATTTTCAATTTTGGAGTAAAGCGAAGATACATTTCTTATTTCAAAACCAACGGAGAGTTTGGCTTCTACTGCGAAATAATTAAAGATTATTAGAACTCAATATTGAAATATGGTAAATATTTTTATATCATACTGCGCTTTCATATCAATATACATCCCATCCCTTTTCCCTCAACTTCCGGGAAAGGGAATGTATACGGAATTTTTTCTTGAGGTGACCATCCATTTATTGAGTGATATTTTCGATTCACAGCGATACATTTAAACATTTCTTTGACTGAGATATCCTTGTTTAGCTATCCTAACATTTTAAATTTCAAATTGTGGTTTCTCTAAAATAAGACTTATGGGTTAATGCAGCAGAGACAATAAAGACAAATTTCATAATTTAAACATTTTAGAAAGAAAAACAGCGATATCTTTCTTATTCTGAACAAGATAATGGTTTGAAAGGTAGCGTTGTAAATCTGACATTCCACTCTTTTAAATGAAGGGTCAATTGAGAATGTTAACTCAACTGTCCTTTTAGCATAATTTTTTAACTTTCGTGATTTTATTTTAAAAATTCTGGGAAATTCTGATTTCCCTGCTGCAGAGATTATATTTCCTCCAAGTTAATATTTCTTATTCAAGGTGTCAGCTTTTAACAATGATAAATGAAATTGAAAATGTATATTCTGAGCAAAGGATATTAACAGAGTGAGAAATGAATATTAAAAAATATGATTTTAACATTTTTTAAACTCTGGAAAAAGTTGCAGAATGCCAAATAAATTAATAAATTAAGTTTACTGAATTAAAAAGTAACGCAAAAAAACCATTCATAAGACTATAGGAATTCATTCGCTGAACACATTTGTCGTTTTATTTTTTTCAAATTTTACAATTTTGACTTGTCCCTCCTTTTTTTAAGCTGCTCAAAATTTAGCATTCAACATTTAGACCTGTCTCTTTATTGATCATGATGAACTCTTTTTTTTTCATCTGCTGCAAATTTAAAATTGTGTTATACTTTATTTCATTTTTCTGCTCAAAATTCCAGTTAAGACTGCACCATCTCAAGAATTATTGATGCAGTGTAATTGAATAGTTTAATTTCTCTAAGATATCAAGAGTGTTGCAATTCAATAAAAAGTACTTTTCATTCAATTAATGAAATATACATATACATATATACATATATATATATATATACATATATATATATGTATACATTAAATATACAGTCAATAAAAAGAAAAAATATAACACCAAACGATTCTTCTCCAATGAAAGAGGGCATTTTTTAGTCCTTGCATTTTTTTAACTAGTGGGATTTAATAAAATTGTTGCATACAAAAAAAAACTTTTTTTCATTAAGGAACAAATGTTTTGAAGGACTGTTTCTATATTTGAAGTTTCATTAACAGTCTCTCCATTGTAGAAAANAGGTTTATAATAATCCTCCCTTCCCCTCCCCTTGATCGTCACTTTTACTTTGGCTTGATAATTGAACAAGAAAGTTTCGTTTAAATTCTGTCTATTCTGCATATTATGTCTATTCTGCCTATTCTGTCTAATTCTGTCTATTCTGTCTATTCTGTCTATTCTGTCTAATTCTGTCTATATTCTGTTTCTTTCTATCTATCCACAAATAACATTGAAAAAATGTTGAACGAAAAAGACAGAAAATTTTCCATTTATCAATTTTTAATGTTTTCCATGTGTAAACCGTGAATTATTTGATAAATTATTAAATAAAATCATTTTTTTCTCACTAAATGACTTTTTATCGAATATTTCTAACCGGAAGTGAAATATTCATAAAGAGAATATAAACAAAATTTCGAAAAATAATTTTTTGTTCGAAAAAAGTTAAGTATTTTTCTTTGCTGGTCTCATTTTAAATGTTTTATTTTCAAATTCTATAAAATCCCCCCCCCCCCTCTTTCTAGTTAAGGATTAAACTTTGATTGACAAGACAAGGAAAAAAACCTCGATATTTCCCCCTCCTTCCTTCCATCCCTCCCCCTCTCCCCCCTCCCTCACCAGTAAACAGTAAGTAAACACTTCATCCAAATACAGGGTGGGCAACCGCAAATTTAATAAATTTTATAAATTAGATTAATTTAGAATTTTGAATTTAAATATTAAGCTATTTCACAACCAAATTAACAAAATTGTTTGATACAACCAATCATTTAAAATTTTTTGACTACTTTGTTTTTTTTTTAACATACAGTAAATTTAAACTTTAAATCATTTTAGAACTAAAAGTGTTTTCCTTTCTTAACCAACCCTGAAAGAAGATATTGGTTAAGTTTAAAACTTGAAATTGTTGAAAACAATTCCTACTATTCTATCCAGCTGTCCTTGGAGTTGGAACCAAGGAGTATAAAATAGAAGGGAGATACAATTGACGCGGCCTGCCCTACCATATGATTATACATGCTTTGCAGACGGGTACTTCAATAAATATTCAGAATAGGTTATTGTATACGCGGTAATTGTACATCAGACAAATATTTCTTATTCAAATGGAGTACCGTCTGCAAAGCATGTATGTATAATCATATGGTAGGGCAGGCCGCGTCAGTTATATCTCCTTCTATTTCATACTCCTTGGTTGGAACTCTTTGGGAAACTTTAAATTCAAACAGAATTCTTTAGTCCTCAATTCTTTTAACTTGGAATATTAAATGGAATGAATTTACATAAATTGACAAAATGTTTTCATTTTAACAAATATTAACTAGTTTATAACCTTTATTTAATATTTGATATTTTAGTTCAAATATATGATTATTATTATCAAGTATCAAAATTAACTAGTTTATAACTATTATTTTGATCAAGGATTCACAACGGTACCCTTTAAACCATGGACTGATCAAGGATTCACAACGGTACCCTTTAAACCTTGGACTGATCAAGGATTCACAACAATACCCTTTAAACCTTGGACTGATCAAGGATTCACAACGGTACCCTTTTAAACCTGTGACTGATCAAGGATTCACAACAATACCCTTTAAACCTTGGACTGATCAAGGATTCACAACGGTACCCTTTAACCTGTGACTGATTAAGGATTCACAACAATACCCTTTAAACCTTTGATTTATAAAGGATTCACAACAATTCCCTTTAAACCTTGGACTGATTAAGGATTCACAACGATACCCTTTAAACCTTGGACTAATCAAGGATTCACAATACCCTTTAAACCTTGGACTAATCAAGGTTGTCGGACATATCCCTAGATTAATCTATTGAAAGGTGTTTTAATTGCACAACACTTTGTTTGCTAGCTGTTATATTTTAAGAAATAACAAAAGTGAATTTCTTAAAAAGGCAGAAAATTTAAATTTACTTTTGCATGTTTGATCAACTGTTTGTACACAGAGTACAATTGCGTGTTTTAGAGGAATTAACAAGTGGGTTTCAATATGTTTTAACAGAAAGATCTTTCTACTGTTTCAAGGGTTCCCGTTGTTAATTGCCCTCTTTACATGGAGGTTAGCTTAAAATTACGCTTACAGTTTCTTTTAGAACTAAAAATTAACAAATAATTTCGAATGCGGACATTTATCCACATTACTCCTTAAAAAAAGAGGACGTGTTAATGTTGTGAACGCAAGTTTGAGGACGCATTGCTACAGAGCTACTGTTAAGGACGCATTTACAAAAATACATACATCGTAGTAGTGGGATTACATACGTATACATACGCATTTTCTAGTTTTCTAACGAAATAACTAAATATATCTCTGTCCAATATGTACAGTAAACATATTAACAAAAAGGCTAAGTCATTAGCTGAGAAACTAATGTACTTCTACACGGCCGAGAGAGGGGCCGGGGGGGGGGGGGTAACAATACTGCACTACATTGCAGGTTTAAACAGTAGGAAGAACATTTTTCAATAAATATAGGTTTGGAAATTCGCAATTTCTTATCTTGCATCATAAATTGAAATACCCTCCCTCTCGCACTTTTTAAATGTTTCAGAAATAGCATCTGTTTTAGATATGTACATTAGTTTACATTTGTATTGTTTATAAAATATGTATTATTTACAATAAATATATGTATTATGTACAGTAAAATATGTATTATGTACAATAAATATATGTATTATGTACAGTAAATATACGATTATGTACAATAAAATATGTACTATGTACAAGAAGTAAGTGTTCCCCAGAGTATTATTCACAACTCTCTTCCACATACATTTTCATAAATAACACATTGTTATATATTTACATGATTTTTGGTTATTGGTACAGTTCTTGGTTGAACTCTTGGTACAGTTCTTAGATCAATTCTTGGTACAGTTCTTGGTTGAACTCTTGGTACAGTTCTTGGTTCAACCCTTGGTACAGTTCTTGGTTTAACTCTTGGTACAGTTCTTGGTTCAACCCTTGGCACAGTTCTTAGTTCAACTCTTGGTGTAGTTCTTAGTTCAACTCTTGGTAACTCTTGGTACAGTTCTTGGTTCAACCCTTGGTACAGTTCTTGGTTTAACTCTTGGTACAGTTCTTGGTTCAACCCTTGGCACAGTTCTTAGTTCAACTCTTGGTACAGTTCTTGGTTCAACCCTTGGCACAGTTCTTAGTTCAACTCTTGGTGCAGTTCTTAGTTCAACCCTTGGCACAGTTCTTAGTTTAACTCTTGGTACAGTTCTTGGTTCAAATCTTGGCACAGTTCTTGGTTCAACTCTTGGTACAGTTCTTGGTTCAACTCTTGGTACAGTTCTTGGTTCAACTCTTGGTATAGTGCTCAGATCAACTCTTGACACAGTTCTTGGTTCAACTTTTGGTACAGTTCTTGGTTCAACTCTTGGTACAGTTCTTGGTTTAACTCTTGGCACAGTTCTTAGTTCAACTCTTGGTGTAGTTCTTAGTTCAACTCTTGGTACAGTTCTTAGTTCAACTCTTGGTACAGTTCTTAGTTCAACTCTTGGTACTGTTCTTAGTTCAACCCATGGTACAGTTCTTAGTTCAACCCTTGGCACAGTTCTTAGTTTAACTTTGACGCTGTTCTTAGTTACACCTTGGTACATTTCTTAGTTCAACCCTTGGTACAGTTCTTAGTTCAACCCTTGGCACAGTTCTTAGTTCAACCCTTGGTACAGTTTTTAGTTCACCCCTTGGTACAGTTCTTTGTTCAACAGTTCTTAGTTTAACTTTGACACTATTCTTAGTTACACCTTGGTACAGTTCTTAGTTTAACCCTTCGCACATTGTCATTGTTCAACCCTTGGTATGGTTCTTGGATCAATCTTTGCCATGGCTCTGGGTTTAGATTTTAGTTTTAGATTCTGCTTAAAGGAAAACTAGAGGCGTTTACTCAGTTGCATATTTGATTCACAACCGAACCCTAGAAAACTAATCTAGAATAAATAAGATTTCCTTTTTCTCTAGCTAAAAATTAATAATTTTCCTCCGTAATTTTTGTATAAATGTGACGAACGGATATATACTCCAGGGACATTAAAGAGAATTTTTAGAATTTATCACTTTACAATGCAGAGGAAAATTGTTACTAATGGGTACCGTTGTGAATCGGAAACTCCATTCTCTCAGTTACGTCTACAGTCTCTTTAACCCCTTTATTGCACTTTAAAAACTGTTTAGTTTTGTTTGAACTAGTTTTGAAAACAACATGTATAAAAGTAAATATAACATAAACATTAAGGAATACATTAAGACAAATCAAGATGGATTCTAGGTTTGGGAAGAGTACAGGATAATGCGGAAATTGTATAACAAATAAATTACCCTCTACCCTCATCAGCATCTAACTAAGTAGCCCATCTATATAGCAATCTTTTTTTATCTAAGAACCTAAGATTTTGCTTTTATTGCCTTCTTTATAGATTTTTGTGTAACATAATAATTTTTTGTCATGTATTCCGGTCGAACATCATATAATTTCTATTTGATTGGAAACCCAGGTTAAGATGTGATATAATTCAAATCATATAAATATAATTTCCTCTTTTTTCATCAATATATATATATATATAAAGTAGTTTTTCTGTTTGTCTGTTTTCTTAGTCGCTTTGCATCAAATTTTGATTGAATGGTTTTAAATATTTAAAAATTAACTGGGTCAAATTTTACAGTTCTAGATTTTCAGGCAGAATCTTGCCCTAATTTTTTCCGCTCTCAATGGGTCCCATTTTGTTCCGACTCTTTATCTATCAATCCTATTTTGTTCCGACTTTCTATCTATCCATTCTATTTTGTTTAGACTTTCTATCTATCCATCCTATTTTGTTCAGACTTTCTATCTATCCATCCTATTTTGTTCCGACCTTCTATCTAGCCATTCTATTTTGTTCCGACCTTCTCTCTATCTATTATATATCTTTTGTTCCGACTTTCTATATATTTATTCTATTTTGTTCCGACTTTCTATCTATCCATTATATATCTTTTGTTCCGACTTTCTATCTATCCATTATATATCTTTTGTTCCGACTTTCTATCTATTTATTCTATTTTGTTCCGACTTTCTTATAGCAATCCAATTTCTTTCCAACTGTCTAATTATTTGTTCTATTTTGTTCTGACTTTCTATCTATCTGTTCTATTTTGTTCAGACGTTCTATCTATCTATAAAATGAAATGTTTACAATATTAGAATTCCGAGATATAATAAACTGAGTTTATTTCTCTGGTTTCCAGCTTATTTATCATATCTGAACAGTAAACATAGAATAAAAGGGAATACAAAGAAGTTCTGAAATTGCACAAACTTATTTCATCATTTTATTTTACAAGGCCAGCTAAGCTGTTTCTATTTGTGTATTCATTTATCTATATCTTGATAACAAATATGGCTGAGACCCCATTTTTTAAAAAGCATTTACAAACATATCGTTTGAAATTACAGACATGTTGATTGAATAATAAAGATCTGTGAGTAATCTGTAGCATTGTATTTATAATTTTGAACCAAATATGTTTGTTTTCTAACTGAGCTGTGTGAAGAATTACGAATAAAATTTGGTCTGAGAAGTGCTCTGTGTTTCTATCGTAGATTAATTGCTTTTGATACAAAAATATCATTGAGTAATTTCTAATACTACAAAATTACCTGGGACCAAATTTAATGAATTTGCGGAGTCGCTGAACTGCCTAACTCTAGCTCAAATTCATTAAATTCGGTCCCTGTACTCAAATATTTAGACTATCATGTACGCTTACACAGATTGTACTCATTGATAAAAATTATGTACCAGTACATCAGATACCAGAATAATACCGGAGTACAACCACATCATTTTTACTGGTTTATGTAGAAATTAAAAAAATTGATAATACCAAAAATAGGAAGTATTATTGTTTAAAAAAATATTTTGTTTATTGTAGGATTGTGTACTCGTATTTCTGCAGGTCAGGAATAAGGTAATTTCTAAAAACTTAATCATAAAAAGATAATTTAAAAACAAGCATTTTATCCAACTTTTTCTGGAATAATTAGTTAATTAGGTTTATAATAATCCCCTGTGGCTTTCTTCTTTAGAAATAGTATTATTTTACGCCCTGTAAAAATGAGTACAATTGAAGATAAGCAATTTCGTTTCATTAATGATATATTTGACACACAAAAAGTACTAATAATATACAATATTGTATACTCTGTATAGGTCGCAGTCTTTTTTATAATTAATCCATCAATAGTATTAATTATCTAGAGTCTCAAGTTATGGACCCTGTATCTGTAGTTATAGGAGAAAATATGAACAGGTAGAAACAAAAACCAGAGGAAGTTGGAAACATTTGGAAATAATTGGACGAGCTAAGTCGTTGTCCTTTAGAATTAATCCAAGTCGCTTCTGTAATTTAATCCAATTTAAATTCTCATTGGTCGCTGTTTTAATCAGGTTTCAGTGCAAAGTTTTCACCTATTTTAAAATTGTTGCTTTTTTTAAAGCGGTGTAATTAAAGTTTTATTAGATTATTATTCTTAAAAATCATATTTTCTATTTCAGAAAAAGTCGTCTTCCAAACAGTGATGACGAGGGTCAGGTACTATAAACTACAACCCCCCCGCTCGGGCAGCCGTAGTGCATTTGAATTTCCGAGCTTGGTCAACCATTCCGGTTCCAGTTTGTACTGTATCGCCCAGACATTGGCTAAATAAAGCAGACACTCAATAGGACTAGCTCGTGCAACAAGGTTGACGCGGTCAGACTTTAGGTTGAATTTACTTTTATTTAAGGGTCAGAGGTGCGTGCCCCCCCCCCAACCTCCTCCTCATTTTTCTTGTTTAAAAAGCCCTGCATTGTCCTTTTAGAGGAGAAATTATATGCAGGAGAAGAATAAATTGAATAAAATTTTAATCTTTAGAATAAATTTAACTTTCTTTTCGCCATTCTTACTAAAATTATATTTTAAAATAGACTAGCTTTGAGCTTGTAGAAAAACTATAAACTTATTAAACTTTTAGTAAATGTTCTTACCAAAATATTTTTGATTTATTACAATTACACTTTTTTAACATTATGTTTACCGATAGTTTTAAATAATTTTTAACAGATTTGTCATAGAAGCATGCTTTCATAGTATCAAAGAAATCATTCTGTCAGAAGCCAACGTATGAGGCTGTTAAAATTTTAATTTCTAATATTCGATGTATGTGTCAGCGGAGATTTCTGCATTCATCATTTCATTTTCCATAAACACACCCTTTAAATTTCTAGGGGCTTATTTTCACATTTCCAATATCATGCATATTCTAGAGTTTCAGAAAATGGAAATTTGCATAATTATAATAAAACTCATTTCCATAAAAACAGATAAACGGCTGAGTCTGAATTTTAACTAGAGTCTAATGAGTTCTGTGAATTATTTATTCATCATGTTTCATTAATATTTAAACCATTTTTAGAAAACCGTAGAATTTTAAACAACGCCTAATTTTTTGTCATGACTGTAAATGCAGAATTTACATTAAAATAAATTCTACAAATTTGTTGGGACCCGTCTGAAATAATGTACGACCCAATACTTTCAAAGGTTTAAAAGTTTTAAACTCGAAATCTGATAAGCTCGAAAATATCCTTTCAAACCGAAAGATTGATTCAATTGTCTTTGTTGACTTTTATTGTATTTCACTGTCTTTTATTGTATTTCACTGTCTTTTATTGTCTTTCACTGTCTTTTATTGTATTTCACTGTCTTTTATTGTATTTCACTGTCTTTTATTGTATTTCACTGTCTTTTATTGTCTTTAAATGTCTTTCAGAGTATATAACAGTCGTTCTTTATTTTATTTCATTGTCTTGGATTGTCTTTTATTGTCTGTATTGTCTGTATTGACTGTATTGTCTGTAATGTCTGTATTGTCTGTATTGTCTGTATTGTCTGTATTGTCTGTATTGTCTGTATTGTCTGTATTGTCTGTCTTTGATCTTCAAATTTCTTTCATTGTCTGTAATTGTCGTTCCTTGCCTTTTTTATCTTTCTAATGCTGTCTTTCATTGTCTTTTATTGTCTTTCATTGTCTTTTGTTGTTTTGCATTAGCTTGAAATGTATTCATTATCTCGAGTATTGTCTATTAGTGCCTTTTATTGTTTTTTTGTATTCTTTTGTTGTCTTTAATTGTCTTTATTATTGTTATAATCTTTGATTTTTCTTGATATACTCATTTTGTTTTCCTGTAGATTTATTGTAGTTTAACAGCTAGACTTATTTTCCTGTAGATTTATTGTAGTTCTAACAGCTAGACTTGTTTTCCTGTAGATATATTGTAGTTCTGCAGGTAGACATGTTTTCCTGTAGATTTATTGTAGTTTAACAGCTAGACTTTTTTTCCTGTAGATTTATTGTAGTTTAACAGATAGACTTGTTTTCCTGAAGATTTATTGTAGTTTAACAGCTAGAGTTGTTTTCCTGAAGATTTATTGTAGTTTAACAGCTAGACTTGTTTTCCTGAAGATTTATTGTAGAAAGACTTGTTTTTATTTTTATACAGGGCACTTGAGCGTTGTTTTCATACTGCACAATACTAGAGAGTTATTTACATACAGTACATAGTACACTGTACTGCAGAATACTAAAGAGTTGTTTACAAACAGTTTACAGTATACTGTACTATAGACTACAAGAAAGCTATTTACAAATCGGTTACAGTACAATGTACTTTAGGGTACCAGAGGTATTTTTCTACATGCAGTCGACAGTACACACTACACAGTGCATTCAATATCACTTAAAGGGGCTATTTCATTTGGTTTACTCTTCTGTTTTGCCTTACATAGTCCGTATGTGTACTCGTACTGTACAGTCTGCTCTAATTATTTAAAAGTCTGCCCGGTGCTTAAATAAGTTTACAGTACTATTTCTTCCAAAAACTATTTGTCAACAAAAGTATGAGAGTTCCTGGTATTTTCCTCGGTTTTTTATATATCCCCTTTCACTCTCCCTTTTAATTGAATTGTTTACAAACTGTAACAAATTGCACCATTTTCTTAAAGAATGAACACAAAATAGGTCCGGGGGACATTGTCAAAATGAAGTAAATTGTAGTCAACGCTCCGAATGATAAATCCGAGGTTTTATTTTCTTTAATTCTACTCATTACGCACTACTTTCACTAGGAGAAGATGATTCATTTGGTTTATAGTCCAGTTTTCCCGTCATATCAAGGTTATAATGAAAGGAAAGATATTTCAGAGGTGTACGCATCTTTTGGACTTCAGTGTACTGCAGTGTGGGGGGGTTATCCAATAGGTGGCTATGGCTAAGAAAAGTAACTCTTTAGTAAACTTTCCAAGATGTTCTTTCCAAGGTTAAACCTAGCCCAGTCTATATTTGATTGAAAATATATAAATATATTTGTATTCTGCAAAGTTTATACAGTTTAGAACCAATACTATCTCCGCTTTTCCTTCACACAATCTGATTAAACTTTGCTCAAACATTTTTAACAATTTTAAACTACATTTTTGTCCTTTTAAAAGTTTTTCAGAAAAAAACACCCCCTCCCCACTTACTCTGTCCCATAATAGATAGATAGATAGATAGAATGCGGATAAAGTTGATTGACATAAAAAAGTTAGAAAGTATAAAGTGATAAAGGTCCATAGTATCCCTGGTCAGGCCCTGGTAGTCTCTGCAGTATAAATGTTAAATTAATCTCTAATTAAGTGCTCAATGCACCACAACAAAACATAATTATAAAGTTGAAGAAGAAGAAACTTAATCAAAAAGATAAAAAACTTTTTAATAAATCAGCAATGAACGTGAATTAGTAGATATATATATATATATATATATATGTGTTAATGTTTAGTAAAATATTGTTTCTTAACGTTACTTCTATTTTCTCAAACATTAAAATATTAAACTATTCAAAAATTATTATTTTCAATTATTTAACTTCGTAAACACAGTTATTAAACAGAAATCCCAAATGTTGAAACCTTAAAAACAAACGAGCTGTGTGTTTAATAAGAAAATTTATGAGTTCACATTGAAGATGAATTAACTCAGTGGCCCTCCAAACTTCTTTTGAAAACTTCTCACTTCACAGGAATCTTTTTATTTTAGGTTTGCAATATATCTTTACTTACAAAAACCTGCGTACAGAGTTCTGGACTAAATTTTTTGGCGTTTTCCTATGAAAAGATATTTTCACAAATAAAAAAATAATAATGTTTCAAAATTAATCAACTAATGCAAACCCCCTTTATAATTAATATAGTTTGCAACTGACACTTAAATATCAAGCTCAGAGGGGCCCGATTAAATGCCGCAACTCAGAGGGGCCAGATTTAATGCCGCAAATCGCAAATTGAGAAAACTACAATTGTCCAAATAGGTTGTCAAGTACAATAGATGGCAACAGAAAAATCGACTAACTGCGCACAACGTCATATGTGTCAAATGAAAAAAGAAAGACTACATGTCCTCTAATTAGTTGTTATAATTTCCAAGACTCGGTGGAGATAAATGTCGTCTTTGTAGGAATACGTAAAAAATATTTACAACTCAAAATTAGATAAGAGTATTTTTACTGTCGTTTGGTGGCTTAATTTTTTTCACTGTATATCTATGTAAACTAAATAGTCTGAGGGAGGGGGGGGGGGCGTCCAGGCCACAGCCCTCTAAACAGCATTAAAGTAAATATTTCTAGGTTTATTATAGGTTTACTGTTCAATTTCTAAAGCCAGCTAATTTTTAAAAAAATTTAGACTTCTAACTTTTTGAAACACTCATACATTATACAAATTTTACAAAAAATCATCTGGATTACCTTGTTTTAAAAGTGACGAAGTTTTGGTGGTTTAAATAATGACTGAAGTATACACATTATATCATCATACACAACAACAACAAAAAAACAATAGTAAAAATACAAGAATATTTTTAACTATTTATTAAAACATGAATTGGCCTTTTTGTTTTAAATTTCGTATCATGTGATGCCCTTGTTTGTTTACTAAAACATTTAGATGCCTTATTCTTTGGAATTTTACAAAAAAGGTTGATAATGGAGATCTTGGTTCTTTTACAGTTATTGATGGAATTGCAGAAGATCAGAGAAATTTCCTTGCAGGGGAGATTTCTGGAAGTTTCGAAAAAGTCCTCAAATTTGGATTAAAATCAGACATAGCAAAATGAAGAGCACGCACTCTGCTATCTCCGATTTCATTAGTGTCGTCAATCTTCAAAGAATTCAGCCACAATTCCTGCTTCTTTTTGTTCTTTGGAAATTAGAATCTGGATGTTCCAGGGGGTGGACGGCATCCAGGCACAAAACAAGTTCTTCGCCTGCCCCCTAAATGAAAAAATATAATCAATGAAGACCAAAAAATATCATAATGTAATGTTGACTTAGTATATGTTCATAGTATACCTTTAAAGTATCCCCTCCCCCCCACCTTGATGGATTTAAGATAAATAAAATAGATCTGTCTTTTTTTATCAAAACAAATCACAAGACATCCATTTTGCGAAATTTCAATATAATATTCATGTTATCTCACAAAACACTTTGCAGATCCAAAATTTTGGCTGCAACAGATAACTTACATAAAATGTACGAAAATTTGTGAATATTTTGGTTATTTATGAAAAAATGAATATATGTAAAAAATCAAAATTTGAAAAATCTGGGAAATCGATTTTTCGGCTCATGCTTCATAATTAAAGAAGTGATTGTAACATAAAAAGAATGCCTGGAAATAAATAACTGAAATATCAAGATTTCCATTTCTAATGTTAACATGATTGTGAACATTAAATAAAAATTGGTGCCTCTGCAGTACCCAACCCTACTCTAAATTTTTGTTTGGGACACCCTGTTTATAATATATATCTACATATAGACTTTCCAATGATTTCATAAATAAAGCGCTTTTGAAAAATTTTATATATTTCTTACATGTTCCCAAAAATAGTAAAATACGACATTTGAGAAAAAAATTAAATATTCTTAGAAGACGACATTTCATTAGAAAATTACCGTTTCTTTTTGCCTGTATTTCCCCCGGATCTGGGGGTTTATCCTCGATTAGACCTTTCCAGAGCACTTCTCCAAAGATATCATTAAACATTTCTGAAATATGTTTTAACGTTATACTTTCGAATTACATTGTTAAAGGGTTATGTACAAAATCAGTTTCAACCCCGTTATTTAGTCTATAGAACGTTAAATGAAAAAGTGTAAAAACAGAAATAATGAAAATATAAAATTGCACTAATTTCACTAAAAAATAAGCATTTTAGTCTAAAAATATCACTTTTATTTATAGTTTTGTCAAACAGAAAATTTGAGTTGACACTTATGACGTTTAAACAGCTGTACTTAAAGTGTACGCATTCTGTGTTGCCATCTATTGTACTTGACAACCTATTTGACAATTGTCAAATCACTCCAAACAAACCTCGAAATTTGAAGCGTTTTAACCGACTTAGTCCGACTTTTTTCTTTCTCAGTGAAAGACAATTTTTTTAGCCAAAAAGTTAGACAATTACGATAGGTTATCTTGGCTTTTAACCCAACTCAGATCAATTGTCTCTTTTTAAATTGGAATCTTGATTATTCCTATTTTACTAAATAATAACGTTAGATAGAGGTTAACTTAAAATAGATCGTAGATCGTAGATCTTCTTTAATTAAAATATATGTACGAGTGGTGCTGAGTCTGTAAGCCTGGTTTGTGTTTAATAAATATATATGTACATGTGTACATGTGTAGGTTGGTAAGTTTGGTTTGTGTTTAATCTATTTATATGTACGTGTGTACATGTGTAGCTGGGTAAGTCTGGTTTGTGTGTAAACAATATATATGTACATGTGTACATGTGGAGCTGTGTAAGCCTGGTTTGTATTTAATCAATATATGTATACAAGTAGACTGTGGAGCTGTTGTGTTAGCCTGGTTTGTGTTTATTCAATATATGTGTACATGTGGAGCTGTTGTGTAAGCCTGGTTTGTGTTTAGGGAGCCCTTGATGTTGGCTCCGTATTATCTGGGGGGAGCGGTAGGAGCAAAGTTACTATTAAAGAAGACAGAGGAATAACATGCAAGGTAATTATTTTTAACAAATATAAAAACAATAATATCAATATCTTTGTCACAATCATAATCATAATAAACAATATTTTATAGAGACAAATTACATTTTGCAATATTTCCTTTACATTTTCAAAACTTCAGACCATTGGCTTTATATATAATGATATGTTTGAGCTTGAAAATTTCATTTTGACGTTCTCTCGCCAAAATTATTATTTTTTCCTTCTAAAAAATATTTTGTTCTTTTATGTTTATTGATAAATTGGCATTGACTTCCTATGTTTTGTGTTCTGTTCCATTTCTTGGTTGAGTGAATAGATTATAATAATGTTCTATAATGTTCTATGACAATTGTAGACAAAAATAATCTCTTATCAGAAACAGAATCAAAACACTATACTTATTGCAATTGAGGGTTATATCTGCCTCTTTTTTATCATTAATAAGGATTATTTTCAAAACAGTATTTGAAAAAATTTTCACAAGTTTTCTCAACAATGCTTTCATTGTTTTTTATATATATATAGTATAGTATGACTTAAATTTTTATATATATATATATAGTGTAGTATGACTTAAATTTTATATATATATAGTGTAGTATGACTTAAATTTTTATATATATATAGTGTAGTATGACTTAAATAGTGTAGTATGACTTAAATTTTATATATATAGTGTAGTATGACTTAAATTTTTTATATATATATATAGTGTAGTATGACTTAAATTTTTATATATATATAGTGTAGTATGACTTAAATTTTTATATATATATAGTATAGTATGACTTAAATTTGCCCAAACGTGTGTTGGCACTTTTATCCACAGTTTATGTTTTTCTTCTTGTTGAGCAAAACTTTCCTTGCTTTCTGTACAGTTTGCTTCTTGGTTTTCTTCTTGTTGAGCAGAACTTTCCTTGCTTTCTGTACAGTTTACTTCTTGGTTTTCTTCTTGTTGAGCAGAAATTTCCTTGCTTTCTGTACAGTTTACTTCTTGGTTTCTTTGGAACAATAAAAAATATCGAAGTCTTATGCTTTCGCCGATGAGTTAAGAAATATTAATGTTTAGCAAATCGACCTGTATTTCCTGTATTCTCTTGTATCAAAAAAACCTGTAGTGTATAGAAGAGAATTCGGGGCGTGTATAGATACATGTTTTTCATTACATACAAACATATTCGGAAACATGCTAAATGTGCAGTGTAAAATGTTAGACACTCGAGCATACATGACTATTTTTCTCTTGGTAACCATAGCAAGTTACAAGATATACAGACGACATTTAAAATAAATTCACTAAGTTGTTCATAATTCCAACGCTCTTTCTTCATATATAAATATTTATCGGTAATTTCCTAAAAACTTAATTTTTTAATTAATTTTTTTGTTAAGGACATTCGAGCAATAATGCCAACAGTACTCATCTTACTCCTCACAATATTCATTATGGTGACAGTTATTCCATATGCTTTCTCTTCAGGCATTCATTCTTTTATTCAACCTATTCATTCATATGTTTATTTAACCTATTCATCATATATTCATTCAATCTATTCATTCATATATTCATTCAATTAATTTATAAATTCATTCTATTTATTTGTTTTTTGATGGTTCGGCTGTGTGGGTGTTTATCTTTAAAAAAAAGGAGTTTTAAATGAATAAATGAATAATGTTCTTTTTAGTACTTTTGGTAAGACTTAGTTTACATATCTTCTATATATACAATATACAATCCTTTCAAGTTTTATACTTTCTCAAGAATTGTTCAAAATAAAGAATATGAATTTAAAGTGTTTATATAAAGATTGAAAACAAACTCAGTGCACGTATAACTTGGCCGAGTTTTGTTTATATTTCTTTCAGAAACTGCAGTACATATTTTATGCAAACAAAGATATTGTTTATATTATTTGGTTTGGAGTAACTATTAATGTACTTTTCTACCTTTCTATCCTTACTTCATACCATCCTTGGTAGCTTTGTAGGATTTTGTATTTTCTTGCCGCCTCTCTAGCTTTGATATATTATTCACTGCAAATAGGAGAAGGAGCGAGGTTGTAGGAAAGGTTTCAACTTCTGATTTATATATTTTTAGTTATTTCAGGAGCATTTCGAACCTTTTACCCTCTCATGAAATACTTTTTCATTGAATTTAATAATAGAATAGTTTTCAAACTCAGAAACAAAAAGAAGTGTTCTCAATTTTTAGATTTTAAATTCCTATTTTCCTTTATTGCAAGAAAGTTTTCAGAATTAGAACTCAGGGAAAAAAGAATTAGATCCTAAAGGTAAAACCTGAGATTATGATTGTATCTGGAGGCTTGAGGCTAGGACAGAATCCTGTATCTGAGAGATAGAGCTTAGGACAGGATCCTGTTTCTGGGAGCTAAAGGTTAGGACAGGATCCCATAACTGGGAGCTAGAAAAACAGGATTCTGAATCTGTGAGCTGGAGGCTTGAACAGGGTCCTGTATCTGGGAGTTAGAGGCTAGGACAGGGTCCTGTATCTGGGAGCTAGGCTAGGTATCTGTATCTGGGAGATAGACTAGGACAGAGTTTCGTATCTTGGAGCCAGGCTAGGTTCTCTGTATCTGGGAGCCAGGCTAGGTTCTCTGTATCTGGGAGCTAGGCTAGGTATCTGTATCTGGAAGCTAGGCTAGGTTCTCTGTATCTGGGAGCTAGGCTAGGTTCTCTGTATCTGGGAGCTAGGCTAGGTATCTGTATCTGGAAGCTAGGCTAGGTTCTCTGTATCTGGGAGCTAGGCTAGGTTCTCTGTATCTGGGAGCTAGACTAGGTTCTCTGTATCTGGGAGCTAGGCTAGGTTCTCTGTATCTGGGAGCTATGCAAGGTCTGTGTCCAACATCTATTTTAGTTTTAGAATAAAATTCGGAAAATTTGAAATGCCAATACTTTCTAATACTTTCAAGGATGGTTTCTTGAAAAATGGAATAGGAAAATACAATTGAAAAAAGAATTAGCTTTGCAGGCCAAATTTAACTTGTGCATTTTGTATTTTGTGAACAGGGGTCACATACCTTTGCAAGTTTTTAGTTTTACACCATTATTGTCTGTTTGCTAGGTAGTTAAGAGTTGTTAAGGTTTCATAATAGAGAGTTTTATGTCAAACCTTTCACGAGCTATATGGCATTTTTCATAATGCTTTCAACACTCTGTTCTCTTATATATGATTTTATTAATGCAATTTTAAGTTTTCAATTTTAATAAAGAATGAAAAATTTAGTTATCAAACAACTACAGGCTGTGAGTGAACTCGAAGCACAACAAGGTACAAAAATAGAACTATTTAAAGGGACTGTTGGCGTAGTTTAAAGTGTCCCTTTATTTAAAGAGAGTGGTATTTTCTTTTCACAACATTACCTTTTAACCTTCGTATAATCAAGGAAACGTAAGTTTAATTTTCAGTATAGAAATACAAGGATATCTCCATCGTAAATTATCATATAAAGATCTAAAAAGGGTTCTGTTGTGAATTGGACATGAATCTAAGCTCTGTAAATAAAGAGGCATTGCGTTAACTAATACAATTACAGTACTAAAACGTTACAAGAAAAATTGTTAAAAACCCACGACTCATAAAAGAATAGAGATTTGCGCTGTTCAATAAAGCTTTAAGATTTAGTAAATGCAGTTATGATCAGTTTTTTCACTTCAAAACTTCCCCATATTTTGATTAACATTTTTGGAAAGGTTTTCAAAGCAAGGATAACAGATGACTGCAGTGTTTATTTTAGCTGAAATCAAAGCTGCGGCGGCTGCCAAGCTACTTGAAACAACAGAACTACCTGATTTATCTTAACTTTAATTTAGTTTCTCATTTACGTTTATTTTAAATTCATTTATGCATATATAAGTGGATTAAACATCCAAGTTCAACATGAGAATTATAATACTATTGTTTAGCTTAAACGGAATGTATATCTAGCTATATACTGTTTTAACTCAACTCAAGTATATATTTAGGTAGGTTAGTTCGAATAGATATTTAGCAAGTTTAACTCAAATATACTGTTTTAACTCAACTCAAGTATATATTTAGGTAGTTTAGTTCGAATAGATATTTAGCAAGTTTAACTCAAATATACTGTTTTAACTCATTAGTTCGAATAGATATTTAGCAAGTTTAACTCAAATATACTGTTTTAACTCAACTCAAGTATATATTTAGGTAGTTTAACTCGAATATGATATTATTACTCAACTCGAGTATATATTTAGGTAGTTTAACTCGAATATGTTATTATTACTCAACTCGAGTATATATTTAGGTAGTTTAACTCGAATATGTTATTTTTACTCAACTCGAGTATATATTTTGGTAGTTTAACTCGAATATGTTATTATTACTCAACTCGAGTATATATTTAGGTAGTTTAACTCGAACATGTTATTATTACTCAACTCGAGTATATATTTAGGTAGCTTATCTTGAGCATATTTTGTCTAGTTTCTTTAACTCAAGTATAATTCTATTTAGTTGAACTTGTGAGCAAAAATTTATCTCATACAGGGTTAACCAGGAAGGATGAGACTTTAATTACGACCCGAAACTCTTTGAATATGACGATAGCAAGAGTCAAGTTGATCTTAAGCATTATAAATTGTATTTTATTAGTTTACTTTATGCTAAGACGAAGAAAGTTACTAATTTTACACGCAGAGAATCATAAATTCAAGAATAAGGACTAAATACTATCCGTACAGTCGTCTCTAAAGTCTCATTCTTTGTGGGTCCCCCTGTATATACATTCTGAAACACCAGATGAAAGGTTCTGGCTGCACGTATTTAATATATATTAAATAGTATTCCCATATGCACTTTCAGATTTACTTTTCTCTAGATTTATTCTCAGACAACTCTTAATATAGCCTTTAACGCATCCGATTTATTTAAACAAAAAACGGCTTGTTTTTTCATCAAACATAAAATACATGCTGCATGAATAATGAATATGTAAAAGCCGTAAAAGAACAAATCTGATTTTAAGACACATAACTTAAATCAAGGTTGATGATAGACATCGCTGTAATTCTTAACGGGTTGTAAAAAAATAATTGGTTAATTTATATTTTCATGTTCATATTACTGCATGCCTGCAAATGTATTACGTTTTTTGCTGATAACGACAATTAGCATAAATCTTTACATATACAAGTATTTTAGGAAAATTTTATTCTGATTCATTTTCTCTAATTAATAAAATATTAACGAAATATTACCTAACTAGAGGCTGTATCAGCTGGACAAGATGCAGAACCAAACCAAACCCAGTCCAGTCAATAAAACATGGCGGCGAAACGTGGGTCAACCACGTGTAAAGATTTAAAATTTTAAAACGGGCAGCCGCATTAAAATAGGCGATTATTATAGTTCATATACATCCAGATTTCACTAAATGCTGAAATAATTTTTTTTTGACTTTTTAGAAAGATGTTTAAAAACTGTTTAAATAAAGAGATTATTCAGATATTTAAAATATTTGAATTTGGATGTTATTTTTATAAATCTGTTTGTTAAGACAAACTTAATTAAAAATTAAATAAGACAAGAAAAAGTCCGACTAAAGATCTAGACTAAATCAAGATTTCAGGCAATTTTTAAGATTTAAAAGCCAAAAATATAAGTTTTGTATCAAATATCTGACCAGTCTCTTTAATGGTATTTACATTAATGTATCTTCCTTATTAATCAAAATGTTAAACATTACCTCTTCTCAATATATTTCAAAACTTGCCTAGTAATAATATTCTATATAACGAAAACATTTTGTAAATATATTTGCATGATATTTCCATCTTTTACTCAGATTCACCCTTCTCTCATATACCCTTAGTAGTAGCGGTCTAGTGGACGAAACTTATTGTAACATAAACGAGAGTTAAAACCAAACTCAGTTTCGTTTACTTAAAATGACAAAAGTAATAATCATTTGAAATTTTACATTTATGATGGAGTAAATATTTATCAAGGGGGCTTATTTTTTCATAAAAAGTGAAAATGAAATGCCCCTATTGTACTTCATAATATATGTTTAATTTAAATAAATTCATTACTTACTATTTGAAATAAATTTTTAATAATAAATTATACATTCTACTTCTACTTCTACAGTCTATACTTTATTGTATATCTAATGCACAGTTGTGATCATTGCACAATCAATTATAAAAAAAATGTTTGAGATTCTAAAATATTTCAAGAGGTGTTAAATTATTCTCAAAAGTATTAAATATAACATATAATAATTATGCTTTTTTTGCATTGAAAATGTTGAATTACGTTTTGATGTTACATATGTTTAGATATTTGGATGTTACTCATTTTCTTGTTTTGGGAAAACATTATATTTATAAGCATCTTATATAAAATCAGTTTTTTTAATTTATATTTTCAGTAAAAACACAGTGCTCTTACTTCATCTAAAAACTTTGTGATCATTTAAAAAAAAAATTTGTGGTACCTATTTTCTTGTATCTATTTTTTGTACCTATTTAATTTCTTATATCTATTTTCTTGTACCTATTTTCTTTTATCTTTTTTCTTGTACCTATTTTCTTGTTTCTATTTTCTTGTATCTATTTTCTTGTACCTATTTTCTTGTACCTATTTTCTTATATATATTTTCTTGTATCTTTTTTCTTGTACCTATTTTCTTGTATCTATTTTCTTGTATCATTTTTCTTGTACCTATTTTCTTGTATTTATTTTCTTGTATCTTTTTTCTCTTATCTATTTTCTAGTACCTATTTTCTTGTTTCTATTTTCTTGTATCTATTTTCTTGTATCTATTTTCTTCTTTCTATTTTCTTGTACCTATTTTCTTGTACCTATCTTTAGTATCTATTTTCTTGTACCTATTTTCTTGTACCTATTTTCTTGTATCTATTTTCTTGTATCCTTTTTTCTTGTACCTATTTTCTTGTTTCTATTTTCTTGTATCTATTTTCTTGTACCTATTTTCTTGTACCTATTTTCTTGTATCTATTTTCTTGTACCTATTTTCTTGTACCTATTTTCTTGTACAGGGTGTCCCAAAAAACATGGGAATTCAGTGACGAATTCGATATCGTCTTTTCAAATAATTCTTTGATTTAGTGTAGTGATACCTACTGAGAAAGCTGTAATCTGTCAGAGTTTCGTCTGCTATGTTTACATTTTGTTTGTTTATGTTTTGACTGCATACAGTTGTACTTAGTAAAACAAGAAAATTGCAGTATACAAACAGAGTAAACTTGTCTGTCTTCACTGTTCATCTTGCAGGGAGACATTATAGACACATCTTTACAGTCTTTTACCCTTTTCATAAAATAAGCTCTAGCAGACATAATTATATTATGGCTTTTGAAATTAGGTATTACAATGCTAATTCATAACAAAGACGATATCAAATTCGTCACTGAATTTCCATGTTTTTTGGGACACCCTGTATCTATTTTCTTGTACCTATTTACAAATTGAAATGTTTTTGGCACATTTATGTTCTTTGTCAACTTTGTTCAATAACACAATAAAATATTGTGCACAATTTAATTGTTTGCAGTTTTCATATGCATGCTTGACCTTGAAGTTTTGCTCAACTTTGTGATTTATATTTATATAAGTTCTTTTTTTCTGTCCGCAGTAATTCACAATCTTCTTTTTTAAATACAATTTGTTCAATTTTGTTTTCGTTAAATCTGAACAAGAAAGGCGTTTACGGAGGTTTTATTATTTTCTTCTAAACTTCAACTTTAAAAGTAAATGAGATATTTTCTGTTATATAATTCTGCGACTAAAGTATGTTTCAGCTTCTGCATATATTTCATAAACGAAATCTATTCCACTTTGCTCAAACAATATATCAATATATGTATTGTATATTCATGAATTATTGTAAATTATACATATTGTTATATCATTATAAATCATAGCATTCTTAACTATAATATCGTTTTTAATATATCAATAAAGATTTAAATTTTAAGAATTATTTTCATGAGTATGAATAAAATTTCAAATACTCATTAATTATCTTTTTTAATACTTTATTTTAAACCCTCTATCTTCGCAACCTATTAATATAAATCTTTGATATTTTAAACTTTTACGATTTAATCTAACAAAATTCATAATTTTAAATTTCTATTACATCATATTGTGAAGATATAATTGTTTATAACGATTAATCTTTTTCTCTACGTTTCTAAGATTTGTGAAAAAGAAAGAAAAAAATTACTCACAAAAACAAACTCCCAGCTTCTTTTTGGAAAAAAATATTTTACTAACTAGCTAGATTTATGGTGGGTAGGAAGTATTTCCGGTTAAATAGCATAACAGATTACAATAATGTCCGGTTAAATAGGATAACAGATTACAATAATGTCCGGTTAAATAGGATAACAGATTACAATAATGTCCGGTTAAATAGGATAACAGATTACAATAATATCCGGTTAAATAGGATAACAGATTACAATAATATCCGGTTAAATAGGATAACAGATTAAAATAATGTCCAACATCAATAGAGCTAAATTTCACAAAAGATTTCTAAATGATATAAAATATATTTATCTATCTATAAAACAACATTATTTCAATTTTCCAGGAATTCCTAAAAATGTGGAGAAAAAAACCGTGATAAGCTAATTATGAATCAACTATATTAAAAAGTTTTAATTAGATTTATTGGTCAGGAGATCATAGGTTTTTAACATTGAAAAAAACATAATTTCAATTCTTTTATGCCAGTTTTATTAGATGGTAAGGATACATTATGCATATTTTTGATTTTGAATAGCGATTCGTTATATTGAATATCAAAAATATAAATACATATATTTTTCATTTGTCTGCACTAAACTAAACTTTTATGACTTGATTCCCTGTTTACATTTTACTACCAATAAATTTAGATTTGAAATAACAACATTGATTCAATAACTGCTTTATTTAATCTGGAGTTGGGTATCTATACATAATTGATTGTTTTAATGAACTCGGCTGAACCGATCAAACTTATTAGTTTTGGGACCTCAAATGACCCAAGGGAAAAATAAAACGTAAATTTCCAAAAATTATTTAGTGTTTGTTTGAAATGTGAAGTGTTCTAGAACTTGTAATCCAAGTGTGTGGAATAATCACTAAAACCGATTACCATCATCCAGAGACGATATATTTAAGAAATTTGCTAAAAGAAAGAATTTTGAAAACATTTTTTATGTGCGGTTACGTGGTTTTTTTACTGGCAAATATGACCATTATCAACAGTCATCTAACGAGTCTAAGAGACACCTATCTGAAGGGAAGATTTTAACAATAAAAATAGCATGAACTAATAAAAAAACGATACTAGCTGTTTTTTTACAAAGAAGTAACAGTTAATTTAAATTTATTTAAATTTTGAAATTTGAAAGAAAGAAAAATATAAAATGGTCAATGTTGTCTTGCATGATGATTCATAAAGATCTTTAAACATTTCATAATTTTAATTTTTACAAGATAATTAGAGAACAGTTGTTAAATGCAGAAGATATGAACAGGGGTCATTAAAATTGTGTTTAGAAATATCTCTTCTTTTGATGTTTTTTATCAAAAAATATTTTGAAGTCAGAATGTCCAGTACAACAAAATATACACAGTTAACATGAGAAATTTTTTGCTAAGGACATCGAAAGTCTTAATTGAATCTTTTAATATCAGCACTTCAGAAAAATAAAATAAAAATATTATTGTTTGGTTGTTCTTCAGTACGGCAACCCCCCNTCCCCAGGTAGGTTTAGGTTTGGCTACCCTAAACACCTGTTTCTCTGCTAGCTGCTGTTTATGACTGTTAATCTGCTGTTCAAGCAGACTCTAGAAATATTCAGTTAAACACATACTTAGCAGCAGTAATTTACAGCAGTCAGGGTACAGGTTAGTACTACTTTTAAATAGGTGTACAGTGCACAGTGCACATTTTTCAGGGTATAGGTTAGTACTATTTTGAAATAGGTGTACAGTGCACAGTGTACATTATTCTGGGTATAGGTTAGTACTACTTTTATATAGGTGTACAGTGTACAGTGTACATTATTTTGGGTATAGGTTAGTACTACTTTTATAAAGGTGTACAGTGCACACTGCACGGTATTCAGGGTATAGGTTAGTACTACGTTTATATAGGTGAACTGTGCACAGTGTACATTATTCAGGGTATACGTTAGTACTACTTTTATATAGGTGTACATTGCACACTGCAAAGTATTCAGTTTATAGGTTAGTACTACTTTTAATTGGATGTATCGTTTACACTGCAGTACAGTAATTATTATTATATTTTATTATATGTAGTCTGTATAGTAGTCAGCTAATAGGTGAGTAGTGTTTTAATTAGGTATACAGTGTACAGTGTACAGTAGTCACTAGTCAGGATATAGGTTATTACTGCTTTTAAATAAATGTACGGTGTACGTCACTGTACAGTAGTCAGGGTATATGTTTGAACTACTTTTGATTATATGTATAGTGTACAGTAGTCAGGGTATAGGTTTGTACTACTTTTGATTATATGTACAGTGTAAAGTAGTCAGGGTATAGGTTTGTACTACTTTTGATTATATGTACAGTGTACAGTAGTCAGGGTATAGGTTTCTACTACTTTTGATTATATGTACAGTGTACAGTAGTCAGGGTATAGGTTTACACAGCTTTAATCAGATGTACAGTGTATACAGTAGGCAGAGATAGGGCAGGGATAGGAAGGGATAGGGCACGATTGCTTTTAATAAGAAAGGGACTGTAAGCGTAATTTCACGTGACCCTCCGTGCAAATGTGGCAAATCCCAATTTGCAACGGTACCAAAAAAGCAAAGCATGAATTAGAAAACAATGTTTATAATACTGATTAATTGTATTGTGGGTGCTCTGCTAAAGTGAATTGCGCATTTTCACTGCAAGAAAATATATGGGAATTATCAGAACTAAACACTTTTAAACCTAGAAAAAACGACAATATCTTCCACATCATTGATCAAATAAAAGCTTAAAGGGTACCGTTGTGAATCGGGTATTGTCATCTTTGAAATTAAGTTTGCAAGTAATAGACCTTTAAAAGATTGCATAAGGTGGACGAATTCTCACCAGAAACTGAAAATAGGAGAAGAAGGGAAAACAATGATTTTGATTATATTCATCAGCTTTCTGAGGTCAGTAATTGTTCATGAGACATACAGCAATAAACATTTATTATAACGAGAAAACTCGGAGATAGGAAGACGACTTTTATAATCAAGTTATAACTCGGAGATATAGAAGACGACTTTTATAATCAAGTTATAACTTTAAAACGTCCAATGAGCATGGAACACTGCAATTTTGCAGTGTAATTAGACCCATTTCACTAAAAAAGTGCGTAGTGAAACTATTTGCTTTGTAACAACATCAAATACGCTTAAGTATTGGTATAGTGCCTTCTTCCTGCTCCACAGTTTTCTGGTTATCAACTTTCACTGTAGTTATTCCCACATTGTTTTTGATATTTTCTTCGCGCTGTTTTTTAATTATTTGATTTTTTTCTAAAATTATATAAGCAAAAACTTTTAAACAATTATTTTATTTCAAGTTTGAGCTCCACCCTTGAGGGTAGCTTGCTGCGTCAAGCTCTAACCTCGGATGTGGAAAATACTTTGAGAAAAGACGACTTTCAACAAATTAATAGTTTTGAAAATGTGAGAGGTGAGGACATTGCGATAGATTTGAAAAAACGCTTAATTCAAGTATTTTTTGTTCAGAGGATATTTCCAAATTTTTTTGGAAATATGTAAAACAGTCTGAAGAATCCAGTCCAGTTTCCAAGGAGTTCAATGAATCCAAGAAGTCCAATGAATCCAAGGAGTCCAATGAATCCAAGAAGTCCAATGAATCCAAGGAGTCCAATGAATCTAAAAGTGCTGAAGATCAGGACTGGAGTTGGCTTGAAGATAAGGTTGTTCCAAAACAATCAATCAAATCCAAATCTTCTGTAGATAAGGTTGAAAATCAGATGGAGGACTTGAAACCCAAAGTATTTGATATTGATACAAATGAACTTAGGAAAGTTTCTGATCATAACAATGCTATTTCAGAAGACTCAATTGATTCCAAGGCTGATATTGATGTGTCCGTTGAAAAAAAGCTGGATACAGCTTCCAAAGTAGCGCTGAAAACAGATACGGACGAGAATCTTGAAATTATCCGCGGGGAAAATTTGAACAAAGCTCCTAAAAATTACTTGAATGATGATTCTCAACAAGCCATTAATAATTTTGAGAGTGAGCCGGTTTCCGATTCAAAAGTAGACGAAATCAAATCGTTTAAAGAAGATACTTCAGAAGATAAAGCTTTAAATGAGAATCTGAATGAAGTTGAGAAGATGGAAGTAAATGAATCTGGAAATATTGTGTCTGGTAAGTAAGCGCATCGAAAAAAAATTATTAAAATAATAATAAGAATATTTGTCAGATGAAGCTCTGAAATGGTTCTTCGATGAATGCAGATCATATTGTTCTTCAACAGTAATATTAATTCTAATTTTTTCCCATAACTGCACTTTAGCATCCTTTGTCACTTGCATCTGTGAATAGTATTTTTTTTAAAGTTTGGGTCAATTATATTCCTGTAAACAGGAGATGTTGAGAGAAGGACTTTTACTTTTTAGCTTGTCAAAGGCATTTTTGTGTCTTTGTTCAGGATTGTATGGTTCTGTAGCACTGGTTATAGGGTTTAATGTTATCATCTCAATTATAAAGTTTTGTGGGAGAACTGCTCTGTTCTGAGAGTATTTAATAATCCAAGGAAAGATCTCATTGCTTTCACATTTTCTGGAAATGTTGTTGTTGAGACCCAGAATTTCAAAGACATTGAAAGAATTTATAAAATGTCGCCTTGATAATTTTTTAATGGTTTTTGTATTATAATACAGAGTTTCCCACGAAACATGACAGTTGGTAAATAGTTTAGAGTGTCTTCTTCAATAAATTGTTAAGTTGTTTAATACCAAAGACAACAATAAAAATATTATATATGAGTCATATTATAGTAATATTAACTTCAAAGTAAAATATATTTGAGCAAAAGATTTATTAAACGAAATGAACTGCAAACAGCCTTTAATATCTAATACATTAAAAACTATTTACCAACTCATGTTTTGTGGAACACCCTGTACCTAAATCTCAGTAATTGTAATAATAAACTAACAGTCGCAGGAACAGTTTTAAAAGCTTCATGAGAAAACGACATTCTATAAATTCTTTCGATGTTTCCGAAGTTTTGGGCTAAACTGTAAATTCGCACCAAATCCAAAATATCTAAAGAATCGATGACAAAAAGTCAAATCTTTTTTGTTAATGGTAGGGCTATGGGCGAAGTTAAGAAAACAAATACTATTTTTGGCTTTAAAGCCTAGTTAACAAATTTCTGAAAACTTGCCTATAGAACAATGAAAAGTGTAAAGGCTTGAAAAACTAGTCTATTTTTTTCTTTGTGAAACCTTTTTTATCTTTATTTTATTTTTATAAATTGTTGGTTCAATTCAACAGATAAGAAGATGGCATTAATAATTATTTTAATTAATTTTTGTATTTTATTTGTTTAGTTCTTAGATAATGCTGCCTGTAATCAAGGTTGTAACCTATTCTACCTCAGCTTTAGCGACAACCAGGTTCAATATCCAGCTAGAAGTAAACAGGACTCTATAGGTAATGCTAAGGAATTGAGGTTTTTGCCACAAACTTGAATTGTCTTATCCCTATATCTTTGCAATATGATGGTGTCAACCTATGATATTTCAATCTTAGATTATTAGATCCAGTATTGTTCATATTTTGAAATGAGTAAGGTCTAAAACATTGGGTTGTAAAAATGTAGTGATTAGAAAACCAGAGATTGGGGCAAAATCTATTCATACATAAAGATAGTTAACAAAAATTCTTAGTAATTGTACAGTCATAAACAATTACAAAACTAGTCTTTCAATATTAATCTGAACCTGAGTATTTTTCTTCAGAGAGCAAATATGCGTCTTTTGTGGTCCAATTGAATTAGTTAATTCCTTACTTCCAAATTTCTGAAGATTAGCGCCAATTTAAAAAAAAGTCTGACCTCTTATAATTAAATATTTAAACAGAGTCCGAATTTTATGAATTTGAGCCGCGTCTCAAATCCACTAAAAACCAATTTTAATTGCGCGTCGGTTTAAATCTTGAAACATTGAATAGAATTCTAAGTGAAGCCAATCATATTTGAGTCGCGTCTCAAATTTAAGCCGCGGCCCAAATTCTTTAAATTCGACATCAACTAAACCAAAATGCCAGCGCTACTTTTCGCGGCATTAACAAAGAAAGAAAATAGACATTTAAAAATTTAAAACGACGAAATATCTCTGAGAGTCATTAAAAGAGCAGATTTTAAATACGGACCATTCAACTACGATAGTAAATCTTTTATAAAGTAAGCGTGTTTTTTTAACGAAATACGGTTTGCCAAAAAACATCATTGTTTTATGAAGTCTATAGAAACTTTATTTTTCAGATGAGGCAAACCATTACTGCAATCAAGGTAAAAAAAGATTTTTTGCGTTTCCCGGATTTCTTTAATTAAAACTTAGTTTTATGTTTTTGTCTTCTAGTGACTGTCTTCACAAGTTAAAACTATATAGTGTTTTTATTGCCTTTTCTTAGTGCAATTTTCTATGAAAGTGTTATCTCCATAAAATTGTTATTTATGAAACCTAGAAGAAAAACATAATTTTTAGCTATTTATGGAAGTTTTCTTTTCTAAACCTTGTTGTATATTTAATTACTAATATATATTTAAAGACAGGTGTTTTCAAACTTCAGAATACTTCATTTCTCCGTTAAACTAATTTATTTAAAGATTATAACAGTAAAACTTTAAATTTAAAAATCCTCGAACTGAACAATTTTCACCAAAATGTGTTATTTTCAATATTTCCGTCGTTTTCAGACACAGACAAGATTTGCCATGCTGAAGCTCAGATAATAAGGAGTCACTCACACTGTCATTAACCATATTTTATTCTTAATTCTTGAAAAGTTAGAAAGAAATTCCAACTCAAAATATCTATTTCTCGACCAACATAGGCAGTTTTTGTCACATGATTGAGAAATCACTAAAAATATTCTTTACTACAAATTCTAAACCCAGAGGGGACAATAAAGTTATACACAGGGCCAATAAAGCTGTAGACAACAAAGTGATCAACCAGCTGACAAAAAAGTGGTTAGATGGGGCAAAACTCTTGTATGCCGATTCCATTAGCGCCTGATCCAATCAGGGTTTAGTCATGTGTTTGTTGTCTATTCTGAACCAATAGAAATAGTATGGCGGTAACATCTATCTTTCTATCTATCTCATCATCCAACTAGAGATATGAATCCTTTAAACGGCACTAATAGTAAATTGAAATATTTACTTCTACTGAAACTGTAGTGATAAAATGCAGTTTGAAATTTTAACACTATTTTTTTCTGAGGATGCTCCGGGATAGAACAAGATCTGGAGTGCAGTCAAGGGTGCAGTATCATGATTAACTATCTATCTATCCAACCAAATACAGGTACAGTGAAGAGTGCAGTATCATGATTAACTATCTATCTATCCAACCAAATACAGGTGCATTCAAGGGTGCAGTATCATGATTAACTATCTATCTATCCAACCAAATACAGGTGCAGTCAAGGGTGCAGTATCATGATTAACTATCTATCTATCCAACCAAATACAGGTACAGTCAAGGGTGCAGTATCATGACTAACTATCTATCTATCCAATCAAATATAGGTACAGTGAAGAGTGCAGTATCATGATTAACTATCAATCTTTCCAACCAAATACAGGTACAGTGAAGAGTGCAGTATCATGATTAACTATCAATCTATCCAACCAAATACAGGTGCAGTCAAGGGTGCAGTATCATGATTAACTATCTATCTATCCAACCAAATACAGGTACAGTCAAGGGTGCAGTATCATGATTAACTATCTATCTATCCAACCAAATACAGGTACAGTCAAGGGTGCAGAATCTTGATTAACTATCTATCTATCCAACCAAAATATAAGAGATGAAATATTTAATTTTTAAGAACAATTATTTTTAAATGTTTCTTTCTTCTAGTTAAACATTTGTTTGTTAAATTTAATTATAGTTTTACTCGCCATTAAACTAACTTTATATGATTGTCTCAAGTATTTAACTTTTTATTTAACACAGTTCTGGCAAGGGTTAATGGTGAAATCTTATTTTTGACTGCGCTGGTTCAAGTATTATTCTGACAATCCTTTTTCAAAATGGCGTTGAAAAATTGATATAGTTGATATAATTCATAATAAAGAATAGTATTAAGTTTAACTAAAAACATCAATAATAATTGTAAAGATGATAAGAACGATGAAATTGATCTAACTGAAACTGAACCTGAGATACAAGAAAACTCAATCCCGGAATTTTACATTGTAAGTGATCAGGTTGGTAAACATTTTTTGATACCATATAATCCTTCAATTACATGTGTATCATTTAAGAAGTTTTGGTATTTATACCTTTTAATCCATAATTTTTGTGACCACTTTACCCATTTTTTTTACCAAAAGAGGATCTTATCCGAAACTGTATATTACTAAATCATGAAAACTGAGGTTGGTCGGATTAATTGCTATTTAGTTTTACTTTTTTATATATATCTAGAGTGCTGATGAATCTTCTGAAGTTGAAATAGGAAACCTTTTCGACTTTCTCATGTGGATGAGGTTCGATTATTATTCTTTAAACTATACAATGAGACCCATAAAACTGTGGAAAAGGAAGACGATATTTTAAAAAACCTTGATGCTGTTTTGAATCAAATAGTTTTTCAGTTGCTTGAAAATCAGTTTTACTTAGTGAAGTAGGTCTGTGTACACTGAACACTTGCTACGATTCATATTGACTCTACTCGTCCTTTTCCATAGTTTAAGAATATTAAGGATATTACTGCTTTTCCTTTGTGAAAATCTAGATATTACTTTACAAGAACATTGATAATAATCATAATTTTTCAGATGTAGTTTTATTTATTTATAAAAGGAAAAAAACAAAAACACCTCAACCCTTCCGCCATTAAAAAAAAACATAGAACCCTCTGCCATAGATAAATCCTCTCTAACCAAACATAGAACCCTCTAACTAAACATAGAACCCTCTCTAACCAAACATAAATCCTCTCTAACCAAACATACTAACCAAACATAGAACCTCTCCAACAAAACATAAATCCTCTCTAACCAAACATAGAAACTCTCCAACCAAACATAAATCCTCTCTAACCAAACATAAATCCTCTCTAACCAAACATAAATCCTCTCTAACCAAACATAGAACCTCTCCAACCAAACATAGAACCTCTCCAACCAAACATAAATCCTCTCTAACAAAACATAGAACCTCTCTAACCAAACATAGACCCTCTCTAACTAAACATTGAACCTCTCCAACCAAACATAAAACCTCTCCAACCAAACATAGAACCTCTCTCAACTAAACATAGAACCTCTCCAACCAAACAAAGAACCTCTCCAACCAAACATAGAACCTCTCTAACCCAACATAAATCCTCTCTAACCAAACATAAATCCTCTCTAACTAAACATAGAACCTCTCTAACCAAACATAGATCCTCTCTAACTAAACATAGAACCTCTCCAACCAAACATAAATCCTCTCTAACCAAACATAGAACCTCTCCAACCAAACATAGAACCTCTCTCAACCAAACATAGAACCTCTCCAACTAAACATAGAACCTCTCCAATCTCTCAACCAAACATAAATCCTCTCCAACTAAACATAGAACCTCTCCAACCAAACATAGAACCTCTCCAACTAAACATAGAACCTCTCCAACCAAACATAGAACCTCTTCCAAATAAACATAGAACCTCTCCAAATAAACATAGAACCTCTCCAACCAAACATAGAACCTCTCAAATTGCACATAAAACCTCTCCAACCAAACATAGAACCCTCCAACCAAACATAGAAACTCTCCTACCAAACATAGAACCCTCCAACCAAACATAGAAACTTTCCAGACAAACCTAGAACCCTCCTGCCATACATATTTTAACGCCTGAACAATGTACGCTACAAATCAGAAACATCTTTTTATGAAATTGAAATTTTTTTCTTTCTTAAGATATTTGCAGATGATAAACTATCAGAACAAAGGAGGTAAGATAATATCTATCATCTTTGATTCAAGAAAGAATTCTTTGAATTTTCTTAAACGGATTTTTTCAAACTAATAAATTTGAAATTTGCAATATATCAGCAATTCAATTGAGTACGTGAAATTTTGTGGAAATTGTTGTAAAATTTTTTTAAAAATTAAATGTTTACATATCTTTATATTCATAGGTCTAATGAATGACAGGGATGAGATGAATATACCTGATAAATTATTTGAAACACAATATTCTGCTTCCCAGCTTGTTCAAGATACACATGATACACTAGTCTTAGCAAAGGTTAGTTTAGGATACACATCATACACTAGTCTTAGCAAAGGTTGGTTTAGGATACACATGATACACTAGTCTTAGCAAAGGTTGGTTTAGGATACACACGAGTGCACTATCTTAGCAAAGGTTGGTTTAGGATACACATGATACACTAGTCAGCTTAGCAAAGGTTGGTTTAGGATACACATGATACAATAGTCAGCTTATCTAAGGTTGGTTTAGGATACACATGATACAATAGTCAGCTTAGCAAAGGTTTGTTTAGGATACACATGATACAATAGTCAGCTTAGCAAAGGTTGGTTTAGGATACACATGATAAAATAGTCAGCTTAGCAAAGGTTGGTTTAGGATACACATGAAACAATAGTCAGCTTAGCAAAGGTTGGTTTAGGATACACATGATGCACTAGTCTTAGCAAAGGTTGGTTTAGGATACACATGATACACTAGTCTTAGCATAGGTTGATTTAGGATACACATGATTGCACTGTCTTAGCAAAGGGGGGTTTAGGATACAAACGATTGCACTGTCTTAGCAAAGGTTGGTTTAGTATACACACGAGTGCACTGTCTTAGCAAAAGTTGGTTTAGTATACACACGATTGCACTGTCTTAGCAAAGGTTGGTTTAGTATAAACACGAGTGCACTGTCTTAGTAAAGGTTGGTTTAGTATACACACGAGTGCACTGTCTTAGTAAAAGTTGGTTTAGGATACACACGATTGCACTAACTTAGCAAAGGTTGGTTTAGTATACTCACGAGTGTACTATCTTAGCAAAGGTTGGTTAAGGATACACATGATACACTAGTCTTAGCATAGGTTGGTTTAGGATACACATGATACAATAGTCAGCTTATCTAAGGTTGGTTTAGGATACACATGATACAATAGTCAGCTTAGCAAAGGTTTGTTTAGGATACACATGATACAATAGTCAGCTTAGCAAAGGTTGGTTTAGGATACACATGATAAAATAGTCAGCTTAGCAAAGGTTGGTTTAGGATACACATGATACAATAGTCAGCTTGGCAAAGGTTGGTTTAGGATACACATGATACAATAGTCAGCTTATCAAAGGTTGGTTTAGGATACACATGATACACTAGTCAGCTTACAGCTTATTTTAGTTTAGGCTAGTTCAGTTCAGCTTAAGAAAAATTGGATAAATTAAATTGATTAAAAAGTAGATTTAATTTGAATTAGTTTAGTTAAGTTTTGTTCAGTCAAGTTTAGTTTAGTATGGTTTGGTTTATATTTTTTGCTTTGTTTTGTTTAGTTTGTTTAGTTTGTTTGATTGAGCTTAGGTTGGTTTAGTTTGATATTATTCAAATTTACATAGTTTAGTTTAGTTCTGTTTAATATGGTATAGTCTTGTATTTCAGTTTAGTGTGTGTAATAATCCAACTTTTTCTACGATTTTTAATTTGTTAAGTTTTTAATTTATTTAAGGACAAGGTTAAAACAGCATTCAGAAACTTTGACTTCCAAACCTTTATTTTAATCGTTATGTTAGGTAATATTTATTTACTTTAATATGATATTTAATTTTTTTTAAAGATTTGAAATGAAATTAATTTCGAGCTAACTCAACGGTTTAGGGGTTAACAAATCTTGCTTGCTAATATTTCAAATTCTAACTACGCCGTTCTCCCACTGAGCCGGGGCTATGTCAGTCCAAGTTATAAGAACAAAAATCTTGCTTATCACATTCATTATTATGGGGACTGCTAGCATTAAAAAAAACTGTGGAATATCTAACGATTTTTCTTTAGAGAAATTAAACTTTTGTACCTATAAATTGTACTGTGTAAAATTTTTACAAGTTGAATAATTATGTCTCTACTCAGTGTTAATTTAAGTTTAAAAACTGATTTACATTACATTCACATTGAAAATTCGGATTCTTGACAAATAAAATGTCTTTTTAAGGTTTCAGTCTGAGTTCTCTTCTAACTGGTCTTCTTGAATGTTTATTTTGTAAGAAAACTCCTAAACCTATTCAGGTGATTCTATAAATTGGTTTAAAATAGGGGGTTCCGTTCAAATTCTCTGAAAAATCTAAATTTTAAGCTGAAAAACAAGATTCAGTTAAGAATTGACGCTATGGACCGAGGGTCAGAGCTGACTTTAATCTAAAATTTTGGATTGTTCATTTCTAGAAATTATTTCTCTAAAACCCTATTTTGAAGACGACCTTGAATGTATTTATGTCAAGCTAATATAATCCAAAGCCTGACGATATTTCCGTATGTTTATATTAAGTATACTGACGATTACTATACCCTGAAGAAGGAGCCCTACAACCCTGTTCTACCAACGTATGAGGAGGTCGTCTTCTTAGACAAGAATGACTTAGCAAACATCCACCTCAATGGTAAACATTTTAAGTCTGCTTGTCTATAAAAATTTATTTCATTAAACTAAAACTTTCAACCCTAAATTTTTCAACAATTCTAAACATTTCTCTTTATGTTTTAAATAATAAAAAACATCCGACGTTGCCTGTTTTATTTTATTGTGGCTTCTGATTAGACAAAACCTTTAAAAAAACATAGAATCAGCATGCTGTGAAAAGATCAATTTTCAAAACAGGGTCCACTTAGAAGTGTCGCAACGCCTTGAGCTTTAATTTTACCACTTTAACTAGATTATGCCTTTTTGTAAAATTTACATTTATTGTTGGCTTTGGCTTTTAAGGAAATATTTGCAAAATTCTCATCGATTTTTGCGTCAGAGCTTCCAACCTTTAAATTAAATTAAATCACATTGAACAATAAAAGATTAACAGTAGAAAAAGCCCGACTTCTTAATTTCTGCTTAAAAAAAACATCTTCAATTTCAAGGATTGAAAAAAAAAAAATTTTTCAGATGAAGTTGAAGTGAGTAAGAAGGTGTAAACCATCATTTATCCACTATCCAACATATTTAATCATTTTGTGATTTGGTTTCAGAATTTAATAACAATAAAAGATTTTTTAAACATCAGTGTGACAGAGGTTTCCGAAAAAAATAATCAAACAGTATTCGGTAAACTGTTTTTTGAATCTTTGTTTTAATATGAACGAGTTGGTTAACTAGCTTTGCAATTTTATATCTAGCTGAAGTGCCTGACGTTGCCCAGGGTACTCATAGTTACTCCCGCCGTTTACCCGCGCTTGGTCGTAAATTACGATCTTATCCAAGGATGAAATGCAAGGAAAGTTATTTCAGAAGTGAACACATCTTTTGTACTGCAGTGTACTGTCTCTGGGCGCTAATGTAAACACAAGACGGATGTCGAAGCCTGACATGGGATCCATCTTTCACATAAAAAAAAACAATGAAATATTCTGGTCATAGGAAACTATTATGTTAATTATCAAAATTTAATGATTTTAACTTCTCGGATACTAAACAAACACTGATGCATCTATTCTTTTTTACAAATTCCGCCCAGAGAGAACTGGTTTCAATATGTACGCAGAGTATACACAACTGCAATTAACTTTCCTTGCATTACATTCTTGATTTTAGCTATTCTTCCATGTTAAAGTGGACCCACTCAAAATAAAGCATTCCCGTGGTTCTCACGAGGTACCCTACCAAAGTTGGAGGCAAATCGGTCAAGGGGTTCATGAGTTATGATCTTTCATTCATACAAACAACATCCAAACAGAGATTTTAACTTTATATAATAGAAGTCTCCGTATATTTAAAGAAAGATTTTCTTTAAACACAGATTTCAGGGATAACAAATGTAATTGTGCTATGGTTCCACAGAAGATAAAAAAAATTATCAAGTCTGCAGAGGACTTCATGTATTGTATAGCAATACAATACAGATATGTAATATATGTAATATGTAATATATGTAATATGTAATATAATACATAAGGCCACAAGAATCACATTTATCTTTAAAAAGCGTATCAAAACTACTAAAGGATTGTCGTGTATGATTGATTTAGGGCCGAACTCTATGAAAATCAACTATATAATAAAGCTCTTCGCCTTAGGTAAGTTATTCCTAAGTTAGACTAGATAGCTCCTTCATCATACCGGAGTGTTTCAGATGAAATTTAACTTATGAATTTAGCTCTGTACTAGGTACATACATACAGTACATTGAATATTGTGTATGTATTCATTTTAGCTATAGCTAACTGGCCAACCGGCTGGACCGATTGGGCAAACATTTTTGAGGGAACACATTGATACCCTGGGATAACATAGGCTAAAAAAATGTTTTTTAAAATCAATCTTTATTTTAAAAATTCGATATTTTTTATTTCACGGACAACGCTGGGCACTTCAGTTTGCTCTTATATAGATTAAGAACTTATTTAAAGAATTCAATTCCATATTTTAATTAAAGAAAAGCTTTATTCATCAACCTAATGCACTTATGTTTCATGTTTTACAGATATAAGAAAGTGGTGAGAAGTTTTTCTATAGATTAAAATCTAATTGAATTTTCGGAGGTTGTTTTCTCATGTATAGTGGGGCCTCCAGTCTCTTTAGTGGTCTTGGACCGTTCACACTTACACTCCACACACTCCAGCTGATCTTAGAGTGTACACTGTACATAGTACACAGTACACAGTACACACACTCCAACTGATCTTAGAGTGTTCATAGTACTTGGTACACAGTAGTTAGATTGTAAGTACATACTTACTGCACACACTACTCCTCACTATTATATAGTCTTGAACTGTACACAATACACAGTACACAGTACACAATACACAATACACAATTCACATTATACGGTACACATAATCTGCAGAGTGCAAAACTTGATACAAACACCCAGATAGAATAACTAGTACATCCTCGTCAGTTTTCAGATAGAATAACAAGTACAAAGAAAATTATAAAACTCGCTACGATACCCGGTTTCCTGAAACCCGGGTTTGGCAGAGTTCGGGTTTCATGTTCTTAAAACGTATTTTTAAACTCTAGGAAACTGGGTTAAAATATGCTGTCGTTGGAGTCTCCAGCTGTGGTGTTTTATGAATAAAGCTGCTACGCACTTGAAAGTGATCAAATTGGTATCCATTTTTTGGCGTAATAGTCGGCCCATCCAAGGAAAGATTTAAATTTACACTCTACAGATTTTTTTAAATATCTGTAGTTGTGTGATGTCATCAGATACATTTGTGAATTTGCTGAGACTTTCTTTTAGTTTAAAGAATATTTTTGGTACTTATTTAACTTAAAAAAGGTTTTTATGCACAAGGATCTCATTAAAAAAAATTTCTAAGGCTACAATTTTTTTTTTCTGTTGCATACTAAATTTTTACAATATCATTAAGATTTTTAAGCAAAAGTGATTTACAGGACTTTTTGAAAAAAATATTTTAATGTATTAGGTAGATTAATGTTAATTTTTCTTCAGCAGTCTATTGATGTTATTATTCTTACTCGGGCTATATAATTTATAACTAGATTTTAGAAACTTATGAAAACAATTTCTGTTATATGGGACTAGGGGGGGGGGGTGCAAATTAGTTATTGCACCCCTCTTTTAGAAGAAAGGGGGGTGCACCTGCACCCTTGCACCCCCCTGGTACGGGGCTGCTAGCAGATAAACGTAAATAAATTACTGTATTCACTTTTAACAGAAAATTGTTTTTAAGTTCGATTTGACTGTACTCTATTCAATATCGAGTCTATAGAGAGAGAGATCTTAATTGATCAAGTATTTGGAACATATATGAAGCCATTTAAAGCATAAATACGAAGAAATGGTGCTTCATATGTTCCACAATCACTACGAAACTCACTTTCCCAGCCGTAACCCTACTCCTATACAAGGGTTTNTTAGTGTTTGCTACGGTCACGGACACTGTTGCACTCGCTTCGTACTGAGTTGAGTTTGAACTTTGAATTACGAAGAGTATAGGTATACTGTGTGTACACAAATATATGTATTCCTTGACCCTGAACAGCTTGAGTCACACAACTATGGATTTAACCATGAATCATGATATAAAAGTTGAAATATAATAATAATTTTTATACAGAAAATTGTTTTAATAATAATTAAAATTTTTTTTTTTCAAATATAGTAGACCAGATTTGTTTAAACTGCGCCAAAAAACAAAAATTATAGTAAATAGTGTCAGGGTCGAGGGGGGGGCGAGGGGGGGGCGAAAAATGCTGAGGGGGGGGCGAAACTCGGTTCGCCCCCCCCCTAGTTGCGCCACTGGTGCAAACGTCACGCAAGGCACAGTTATAATGATCAGCAATAATTTAATTTGTTTTTTTAAAACTTTTAAAGCTTTTGGAATTTTAAAAGTGTTCTTCTGAAATCTTGGAAATTCTATTTTTTACATCTACTTAATTTAAATATTTGACTTAATCTTAACACTTTATGCAAAAAGTTTACCCTGAAAGCAGTCAAAGAACTAGAAAACAATTCATTACAAATAGATTTCTTTTTTTTGGATTAACGAACCAACTTATTGCCCGCCCATAACTAAGTAGAGTACACCGTATACAGAGTACAACAGTACAACAGTTCATGGTACACATTACTTTAATTTAGTACTTTTTAAGAAACAATAGAACATAATTTTTTTTAGCTTTTACTGACGTTCTAGAATAGCTAACAAATACAGAAGATTTCTTGAGTACATGGCCTGAGCAATCACAATATATTTAATATATTTAGTGTTGATAGTTTACAATAAAACTAGTTTTTGAGCTGTCATAATACGTCAACGCAAGCAGATTAATCCTATAAAGGCTGGGGGGTCAGAATCTATGTATAAACGGGGTGGGGGGCCTGTACCCTTACCTACGCATTAGAATGTTTTCTATTCATTAATGTTTAAAGGGAGTGACCGGCAATGTATTGTAGTTGGACTAAGAATGTAGTATTGTGGAGATATTTGAGACATATAAAACGTTTTAATGATGTATAATTACTGAGTTGAAGCGCAAAGTCTTTGGTGATTACGTTTTGAGAATCCATTTTTTTAAATTAATGAATAACGATCGACAAAAAATGTAAATAAAATTCTATAGTAAACTGATTAGATGTTTTGGAACATATTTTTCAATTGAAATTTTCTCAGTAAGTCAATGTTAGAATCAATTATTTCTTTTCCATTATTTCATTGAATTCCTTATTCTTTATGAATTTGTTCGCAGATTTCTTCAAATGTCGTCTTTTCAATAAAATTTCCAGTAAATCTATAGAAAATATGTGTGAACAATGAGACATTACAGAAACCAATAACTCATCTGCGCTCTTGCTGAACAAAATATACCGTATATGTCTCAAATGATTCCTAAAAAATTTCTCCACAATACTGCATTCTCAGTTCAACTACCATACATTTCCGGTCACTCCCTTTAACAGCTAGAAATGATCAGATAACTTTAATGCTCATATTTCATTAAAATTCCGAAATAAAAGCACAAAGAAAAGTAGATTAGCAAAAAGCTTACTACAAAGATCAATTGCCCGCAAAACTTTACAAATTAGTCTTGAGTTTTGCAAAGTTGTAAACTTGTAGAACAGTTATCCAATTATTAGGAAAACCAGAGAATGATAAAATGTCTGTGCTTATAATTGATGGGGTTATATCCAGGGAGGTTAAAGAAACATAAGGACAAATCTTCATTTCTTCGAAACAATTATTACGTTTCCAATATTTTAAATTAAAAATTATGGACTATACATCTATAATAAGTTTACTGTAGAAGTTTTGTTAAATTTTTAGTTGTCGTTATTGAAAAAAAATGTACAAACCGATTCTCAAAATTATCCCTCCATAAAATAAACAATAAAAAGGATTATAAAGATTGAATTTGCGCTCTTGCTGAACAAATATGCACCGTAAACACTTCAAATGAATTCTAAAAACTGTATTCTCAGCTCAACTATCCATGTCTAGTCAAACGCTCCCTTTAAAACAATAAAAAAGAGAATAAACCATATTTAATTTTTGTGTAATAGTTTTGATTTAAAACTTTAAATGATTAAAATTTTAACCAATTTTTCTTATAATTCTTTCTCAACATTAAATAACTAAATTGACTAAAGGAGTAAAAGTCGATATTCCGATATTCCGGGACCGGATCAAAAGCTAAGGAATAATTCCTATTTTTTACTTTATAAAATATTTTCTGTCACGGCAAGTTTACAGTTTAAGGAAACCACATACATATGCATGAATAATACAGGGTGTTACGAATTAGCATTGCAATACCAAATTTCAAAAGCCATTATTATGTCTGCTACAGTTTATTTTATGAAAGCGGTAAATGGCTGTAAAGATGTGTCTATAATGTCTCCGCAGGATGAAAAGAGAAGACGGACAAGTTTACTCTAGTTGTATACTGCAATTTTCTTGTTTTATACTAAGTACAACCGTATGCAGTCAAAACATAAGCAAACTGCAAAATGTGAACATAGCAGACGAAATTTTTACAGATTACAGCTTTCTCAGTAGGTATCACTATACTAAATCAAAGAATTATTTAAAAAGATTATATTGAATTCGTCACTGAATTCCCATGTTTATTGGGACACCCTGTACATGTAGAAGAATGTATTTTTGCAGAAATTATGCTGCTTTAAAATGAGCTGCAGTAACCATTGCAAAGTTTAGAAAAGAATTACAAAATGTAAACTTGTATCATGAAGGTAGGTTTATACTTTATACTTTCATTTTACATGTTATGCTCAGCAGCCCCCTGGAACCTGAAATACCCCCTTAAACCCGGGGATAGGAGGGGGAGGGGGAGGCTGTGCAGGCGCGCAACTAGACATTCAGCAAGGGGAGGCAAAGGGCAAAAGGCAATATTTTTTTGCCTCCTTTGGGGGTTATTTTTTTGTCGGGAGTAAAACTTCTTTCCTTAAGGTTTGGTGTATTTATAAAACATTTGGGGATAAAAATAAATAAAATGTAGGTGCAGATTATAAATATTTGGTGGCATTCTAAACAAGGGGGCAAATTTAAGTCTGGTGAGCGATTTAAATACGTAGTGGCGTACGAGGGGGGAGCCCCCGCCCCCCTCTACGCGTGCCCCCCCTGAGAGGCTGAGGGGGGCACCCATTGGGGGAGGCTCTTTTAATATTACATCTGCTTGCATTTCCCTTCCTTAGGACAGGCACACTGGCGTACCTAGGGGGGCAGTACTCAGTAGTCCTCTTGCCCCCCTGGGAGTTCCAGGAGGAGGACCTGTTACCTTGGAAAATACAAAATTAAAAGGAAACAACGTTTAAAAGTAACATCTGATAATGACAAAGACTAAGGATTTGTCTAAATTCACTGTTAAAACAAGGAGAGAAAAGTTTTAGCCTTCTAAAGAGAATACTTCATTACTCAAGATGTACTATGACGGAAGAGCAGACTTAACGATCTTGCACTTATAGCCTTACACCCTACGGCCTACAAGGCTGTCTGAGGAGTCTGAGCTCTCTACTGAGAAAATCATTGAAATGTTTGTGCAAGCAAATCCCAGAAAATTGAAGATTAAAAAAAGTTGGTGAATATGTAGATTGAGAAAATTCGATCTAAAAATTTCAGAAGAAATTTTGTTTATTAGTGAAAATATAATTTTTAATGATGCTGTAGTTATTGATTAAGTTAGCTGTGATGGAGTTAAGTGATAAATTTATTAAGTTAAACAGTTAGTTTTTAAAAAAAAAGGAATAATTTTTAGACTCTTTAAGGTTAGTGTAGTCTTTTTGGTGTATTTTATGGTGAACAAAACAATTCGAGGTGGGGGGGGGGGCCAAAAAACAGCCAGGGGAGGGGCAAAAAAAAATTAAAAAAAGGTACCAATATTTTTTCAAAAAAGGGGAGGGACCCAAATTTTTTTTCTCACGCGCGCAAATTGTGCCCCCCCTAAACAAATGCCCTCATACGCCCCTGTATTAAATAAGAAAGTGTGAGTATAATCAGGGGCGTACTAGGGCTTTTGCTTAGGGGGGCACAATGTGCGCGCGTGAGAAAAATTTACACCAAAAAGACTACATTTTTGGGTGGTTACTAACCTTATAGAGTCTAAAAATTATTCCTCTGCTAGAAAAACTAACTTTTTAACTTTATTAATTTATCACTTAACTCCATCACAGCTCACTAAATCAATAATCACAGCATCATTAAAAATTTTCCCTTATGTCCATTTGACAGCCCAACTTTTTATTTTGATTAATCTTTTTGTTTGTTTATCTTCTTGTGATTTTTACATTTTTTTATTTTTTTTTTATTTTTTTTTATCGATTTTGATGGTTATTATATCGTTAGAACTGACGAGGGTCAACCCAGACCGAAATATATTTTCAATAAATGTGGAACTAGCATATACTTTTTTACTCTACAGAGGTTTGGTCCATCACCATCATTGAATTTTTAAAATTAAGATTATATTTTTACTAATAAACGAAATTTCTTCAGAAATTTTTAGATAGAATTTACTCAATCTACATATTCCCCAACTCTTTTAAGCTAGAATTTTCTGGGATTTCCTTGCACAAACATTTCAATAACTTTTTCAGTAGAGTCGAGCTCAGACAGCCTTATAGGGTGTAAAGCGTTAAGTGCAAGATCGTTAATTCTGCTCTCCCACAGTACATCTTGTGTAATGAAGAATTCTTTTTAGAAGGCTAAAACTTTTCTCTCCTTGTATTAACAGTGAATTTAGACAAATCCTTAGTCTTTGTCTCAAAAATAAAAAGAACCTGAGCTTATATTGAAGAATGTTAAGGGGCATAAATGAGTGCAGGTTAAAAAAAAAATACTGTGGGAGCATATTTTTCGAGAAAATTATAAGTTATATTTGGATATGTATGGACCCCTGTAAAACCACGTGCTAGTAGGTCGGATGTGTATAATAACGGATTTGGCGTAGGTCAGAAGTAGAGTCTAGCGGATTTGCGTAGGTCGAAAAATATACACCACCCAATTAATATCCTTTATGAATATCCCTTTAGCCATTATCGGGGCGGCTTTCGAGCTCCCCCGAAAGGAGGTTAAGGAAATATTCCTGTTTTAGCCCTTACTTGTTTTATACGCCCCTGAGCTTGCAAGTTGCTTTGCCCCTACCTAAGTATTTGATTGTATTTGAGGAAAGGTTATGTTATTGAGAATATTTATGAGGTTGTTGTGTACAGAGTTAACACAGTACATTTCATTTTTGTACAAATTTAACTTTACTGTTTTACAGTACACATGCACTCTGTAATGACATTGAAAAGAGCGATAAAACTAAAAGTGGAATAAATCTCAAATTAATTCTGAAAAGTATGAACACATTTTTTAGTAAGAACGTGGGTCTTATTTTGGATCTATCCTAGAGAACGATTTTTGGTTAATACAATTTCTAGGCCGAGCGCTGCGGCTAGGACAGGCTAGGGGGCCGAGCGCTACTGCTTGGTATGCTAAGGGGCCGGGCGCTGCGGTCACGCCCTACAGATTACAGCTTTCTCAGTAGGTATCACTATACTAGTTGATTGAGATTTTTCTCTTTCTTTAGATGCTATTTTATATTAAAATGTGATCCCCATAACTTGTATATTTCATGTGGATGTAGGGCCGGGTTTCTGAACTCACTCTACACAAAGTTTTGATCACAAAATATTTAGAAATGTTTAACTAAATCCGCCGAAGCATTATTTTGTTTAAAATCTCTCATCCGTAAACTTGAATTTAAAAGAAATATTTCAAATTGAGAAATACATATTTTAGGAGTTAAAAAATGAATAAAATAAAAGGATAATCTCAAAGACCAAAATTTGAATAGAAATATTTTTCCCACAGTATTGCTGTATTTCTATGCCCAATGATCAAATTAAAATTATTTTACTCTAGTTTAACTGTGACTATGGTGGAGGAAAGCCGTCAGCAAAACAACCGCGAACAACCGTGAAATGTCCAATATGAGATTGGATAGATATCAAATTTACACTGAGTGTATTACTCATTGTTCAGCTAGTTTAACAGTATTGTCTAAATAAATCGAAATATTTTGATATTTTAGAAATCTCGGATACCGGTATGGAATAGCTACGCCAAGAGGAGGTATTAATATTTTTAAAGAAAGAAAGAATGAAAAGAGCCTTTATTGCGAATTTTTCTGATACAGAATAAATAATGCATTATAATGAGCAGCCCGATAACGAAAAATAGATAACAGAAAGTAAAAATACACTTTTTTAGACACAGGGCTATGGAAAAACTATTTTTATTTTCCCTTGATTTAAACGCCGTGAATGGATATAAAAAGCTTGTCGGAACTCATATGTTTAATAAAGCTCTTTGCATATATACAAATAAACGTGCTAAACGGCTGAACCAAATTGACTGATGTTTTTTGAGGAAATCCTTGTATTGGGGTAACAGAGGTTAAATAAATTCGATTTTTTTCTTCGGAATTCCAATTTATGGTCAAAATTCCAATTTTTGGTCAAAATTCAATTTTTTCCATTCTACATGTAAATCTGCTTTGTTTGTTTCTTGTGGCCGGTCAGAATAACTTTTTTATCACCATGGTCGAAAGTTAGATATTTTGCCTAAAAAATGTCGACGCTCAAATAATTAAGAAATCTACTTAAAGTAAATTGATGTTCAAAGAAAATATCTTGAAAACCAAATTTAGTAGCTATTTGTGTTACTAGAAAAATGGGACGAGAAGTGCCATAATAGCCTTGTATTTTATATTCTCTTTCAAGATGTTCTAGAACTGATGACTTGAACTTTAGAGAGTGTTGGGAGCTTGCAGAAACCTGTCCCATCATGGAAAACACATCCACAAAATTCAGACCAGGGCCCGGAACAAGGACGGATGCTCCGGTTAGACCTGAGAGCGGGAGAGGGTTCAAGGTCGGAGATAGGGTTAATGTCAAGGGGTTCGAGACAGGAATCATTAAATATATCGGAGCAGTACATTTTAAGGTTAGTTCTTTACTGCTGAAGTACGAACGTTTATTTTATAGACAAGCAAACAGATTATCAAGTACAATAGGTATCAATGGAATTTTTGAAGCAAATATGCGTGGTGTCATTTGGTTGAAAATGAAAAGAAGCAGTATATTAAAGAAAAAGGTCAAATAAAATTGCGCCAATTGTACGCTAGCATCAACATTATATAATATTTTGTCTGACACTGAGATTAAAATGTCCCCAGTGACGTATATACATATACAGCTGTACAAACTGTACTAAATGTATTATCTAGTGTCACCTATTGTACTTGATAATCTATTTAATAAACGAACTGATTACAATCTGAGCCAACTTTAACAATGTCTTAGTTTTAGAACTTCGATTACATTCATGCAATGATTTCATACTTGAAAGGGAAATGCAAGAAAATATTTTCGAATTAAAATTTAGTTTTTAATGAAGAATTAACTAATGGCTCATCACACATTTTACGAGAATAATGAAATGATTTCATGAATTTACAAATCTCTCTAAGAATTGGATATTTTCATATAAATCAATAATCTAATTTTAAATTAACTTCAAGATTAACGTTTAATCGGCTAGATTTAATCAATAGAAATCATTTATTCATTTCTTGCAAATTTGAATGAGAATGTATACAGTGTATTTATTTTCATGTACTGTACAGTACACTGTACATGATTAGTATTAAGTAAATGCTGAGCAAGGAATTCATTTTCAGTACTGCAGCACGTACAGTATACACTGTACACTGTTCAGTCAAACTTAAACTTAACACTTGTATATATGTGCATTGTACAATATAGACTACAAAGTGATTGCACATGATGGTTTATAATGAGAATTTACTTTGTACAAGTAGTGGTGTACAGTTGAGTTTACATCAATGTACATATACTGTTAAGGATGGTGTATGGTGTGGGGTTGAGTTGGATCGGAAAGTTGGAAAACATGGAGGATCCGTGGATGGTCGGAGGTATTTCTCTTGTCCTCCTGGTTTTGGAATTCTAGTTCCAGTTCACAAACTTACTCCAGGGTAGGTATTCAGTAATAAACCATACTCCAGGGTAGGTATTCAGTACTAAACCATACTCCAGGGTAGGTATTCAGTACTAAACCATACTTCAGGGTAGGTATTCAGTACTAAACCATACTCCAGGGTAGGTATTCAGTACTAAACCATATTCCAGGAAAGGTATTCAGAACTAAACCATACTCCAGGGTAGGTATTCAGTACTAAACCATACTCCAGGGAAGGTATTCAGAACTAAACCATACTCCAGGGTAGGTATTCAGTACTACACCATTCTTCAGGGTAAGTATTCAGTACTAAACCATACTCCAGGGTAGGTATTCAGTACCAAATCGTACTCCAGGGTAGGTATTCAGTACTGAACCATACTACAGGGTAGGTATTCAGTAATGAACCATACTATAGGGTAGGTTTTCAGTACTAAACCATACTCCAGGGTAGGTATTCAGTACTAAACCATACTCCAGGGTAGGTATTCAGTACTAAACCATACTCAAGGGTAGGAATTCAGTACTAAATCATACCCTGGGAACGTGATTACAGTTTACCAAATACCGGGGTATAATACTTGCTTTAAAGCCATCACGTAAACATAGATGCAGTTTATTGAGACTAAATTTTTAAATGTGCTTGCTTTTGCCCATTAAAACTATTCCATTTTATTTTACTTTCTACAAAAAAAAAACTAATTAACTACCCATTAGTAAACAGAATGTATTTATTGTGTGAACAATGTAAATAGTTCACAGTAAACAGAACATACTTAAAAGAAATACAATTAAAATAAATAGAAAAATGAAAATAGTTAAATATTTATACTTAAATATACATACTTAGACATTGGGTCCAGAAACTCGATTTAATCAGAAATTAATTGGATTAATGTTTGAAAAGATTATAGTGTTTTAGGGGAAGGGGAAGTTTTAAAACAACCCAAATATAAAAATCTTCTCTAGGATATCTAACTTAAGAACTTAAATTTAATTTTGCAATTGTGCTAATCTTTTAACTTAAAAAATGTGAGAAAGATAGTTTTTAATAACTAAAGGGGCCTCTAGGTTTAGCGTATTAAAGGCAATATTTATACTTAACTAAATCATGGTAAATTCCTCCTTAATCCTGTAAGGGACGTATATAATGCTCCGATATACAAAGGAAGAGGAATATACAGAAATATATAGAAATATACAGAAATATACAGAAATATACAGAAATATACAGAAATATACAGAAATATACAGAAATATACAGAAATATACAGAAATATACAGAAATATATACAGAAATATACAGAAATATACAGAAATATACAGAAATATATACAGAAATATATACAGAAATATATACAGAAATATATACAGAAATATATACAGAAATATATACAGAAATATACAGAAATATATACAGAAATATGCAGAAATATACAGAAATATACAGAAATATACAGAAATATATACAGAAATTTACCTAAATATACAGAAATATACAGAAATATACAGAAATATACAGAGATATACAGAAATATACATAATCATACATAATCATACATAAATATACATAATAATAAAGTAATATACAGAAATATACAGAAATATACAGAAATATACAGAAATATAAACAGAAATATACAGAAATATACAGAAATTTTCAGAAATATTCAGAAATATACAGAAATATACATAATCATACATAATCATACATAAATATACATAATAATACAGTAATATACAGAAATATACAGAAATATACAGAAATATACAGAAATATTCAGAAATATACAGAAATATACATAATCATACATAATCATACATAAATTTACATAATAATACAGTAATATACAGAAATATACAGAAATATATACAGAAATATATACAGAAAAATATACAAAAATATATACAAAAATATATACAGAAATATATACATACATATATACAGAAATATATATAGAAATATATACAGAAATATAAACAGAAATATATACAAAAATATATACAGAAATATATAAAGAAATGTATACAGAAGTATGCAAAAGAGTATGCAGAAGTATTCAGAATTCTGTATGCAGAAGTATACAGAAGTATGCCGAAGTATACCAAAGTATACCAAAGTATGTCGAAGAATGTCGAAGTATGTCGAAGTATGTCGAATTATGTCGAAGTATGTCGAAGTATGTCGAAGTATGTCGAAGTATGTCGAAGTATGTCGAAGTATGTCGAAGTATGTCGAAGTATGTCGAAGTATACAGACGTGTACAGAAGTGTACAGAAGTGTACAGAAGTGTACAGAAGTGTACAGAAGTGTACAGAAGTATATCGAAGTATATCGAAGTATATGGAATACAGAAGTTAACCAGAAGAATAGAAAGAAAAAACTATTTGCTTTTTATTATTCTAGGGTGAAATTAAGTACCCAATAATTTGAAAACAAAGAAAGAAATTTCCTGAATAATTCTATTTTTAATATTTTCAATTTTTATATGATTGCAACCATTCTTTTGTTAGACATATTAATAATATCAAGGGGAATATTACACCCCCCTCACCCACCTCCCTCTGGTCTGGCAGTGTAAAGGATAATATTAAATAAATCAGTTGCAGGAAGAAAAGTATGGTTATTGCCAAATTACCCCCCCCCCCACCCCTAGTTATATATCAATTTCTTCTAGTATTCTGTACAGTACATTGTTGTTAGAATTCTCTACTGATTCCATATTTGAACTCAATGATGGTTACGGTTAATTGAGCCATTAGCCAGGAGTTCATTGGAGATATGATTATGAAGTCCAAAAGTTACGAACAGAAAATACAACTATCTTATACCGTCTTATAATCTGATCCTCTACGTTATTATAGTTTACAGCTTATTTGGCTAGCAACTCATGTACAACAAACAATTAATTTTTTTCCAACATTTTCTTGTTATGCATCTAAATGACAAGTCTATATTCCGACACAAAATGTTCGCAAAAAAGTTACAATAAGAAACTCAAAATTTATCTTTGTAAAAGTTTTGACTGGGTTGGCAGAAATTTGATGAAGATAAAGTTTGCAGATTTCGTATTTGCATACTGCAGAATAACCACTACATTTCATAAACTTTGAACAAATATCATAGCGTATCATTCAGTACTTTTTTCATTTTATCTTGCGTTACTAATAATTATTTTACTTTATGTATCATTTGGTATTTAAATTTTGTTAAATCATGCACTGTTATTGTTCATGTAACATTTAGTGCTTATATTTATATACTAGTATTTATTGTATCATTAATTACTAGAATTTATTTGTACCATTTATTGTATCATTCAGTATTTTATTGTCGTTTGTATCATATTTGATGTATCTGAATATCAACTTTCTTCACTAAGTGAGTTTAATCATTTTTTAGAGATGATCTCAGCTTTGTGAAATCTTCAGTTGATAATCCTGAGGCCGAATTTAAAGAATTTGAGCGGCAGCTTAAATTTAAGCCGAGGCTTAAATATGGTTTGTTCCACTTAAAATTGTATCAAATGTTTCAAGATTTTAGCCGGCGCTTAATTTAAACCGGGTTTTGGCGGATTTAAGCCGCGGCTCAAATTCTTTAAATTCGGCCTCAGAATTGTTAAATGTTGTGAAAACAACTTATTTATTATTTCATCATTATTATTTAATTATTTTTACTGAAGAATGCAAGGGTCAGCTAGGCTGCAGCGAAAGAATCCACCTGCTGGGCTTAAGCAACAACATCAACCTACTACTGGACAGAAGCAACAGCAGCAACAACCAGCTGTTACGCGCAGGCAGAAGACAGCAACCACTAATACAGGTAAAGAATCGTTAGATTAAGAAGTAAGTAGGAAATTGGTGAAAAAAAATATTTTAAAATCTTCTTTTGTACAAAAATCTTTTAAGCAAATTTTAACTTATATATTTTTTTTATTTTGAAATAAATATATAATCTTTATTTTGCCTTTTTTATTACATTAAGGCTTAATCTTTAATATTTTCCATTTCTTATTTTATCTTTTTTAAGATTTTTAGAGGAATAAAAATAAAATGAAAAGCAATAAAACCTGGGGAATAAAAGTTAATAAAACTATCTTACTTCTATGCTTTTATATTTTTTGATTAACAAAAATTCTCAATTATTTAACGACAACAAAATCTGTGATTTTTTTTCTTCAGTTTCTATGCGGAATAGAAGTTTGCAGCCAACAGCCTGGCGACCCTCAGATCTAGGTAGTTTCATTTAGTTACAAATATTCAATCTCAAGAACAATTGTGCCCCCCCCCCCTCTATGTATTATGTACTTTGTCATCTATACAATCTATTACAAGTTAGGTTAGGTTAAGATACTTAGATAGAATATAACAATTATGCAACCGTGTACATTTAAAATGGGGAGGGGGGGGGCAAGATGGTACTAATCAGGAAATAACCCATTAGTTTAGTGCTATTTAGTTGAGTTTTCAGTTTATAAGTGATATTACGGATATGGTTAGGTTTTGTCTTTTGTGAAATATATAAATAAAATCAAATACTGATAATCGATGCAGCAAAGAAATCAAGGTTCAGCTGCAGAAAACCCCGAATTTAAGAAATTTGACCAAATAGATTTTGTGCAGTCTTCTTAAACATTTACTTTTTAAGGGGTTACCTGTAGATGTTTCAGTTTATATAATTAAAAGTCGGTTTTTGCTTATGACAAATTTAGTACATTGTATTTTATTGAATTTTGAGAATTATTTATTTTTTTATTATTTAAAATTGCTTACTTTTTAGTACATTAAATTAAGCAAAAACCATTTTCTATTAATCTGATCTTAGGTGTTCCCATCAGCACTGAACTAAACAAAACCTTTACATTGGACTCTTTGAACTCTATAAACTCTCCGGATATAGTGACCTCTTGTGACCTCAGATCAGATTTATCTGATCAAAGATCAGAGACCTCTCAGGGGAGTAAACGGTCCTCAGGTGATATGGAGGATAGTTTGGGTATCCTCAGTCCAGGCCAGATGAAGGTAAATATTGAAAGAAAAAATCAGAACTATTTTAAAATATTAAACCATTAAACCAATTAAACTGGAATGGGTAGATTAGATTAGACTCAAGGTATGATCTGAAACAGCCCAATAAGCAAGCTTGTCTTCATAGTCCACAGTTTATGGGTCTCATTGGGTCTTATTGAATGAAGACATTAAGTGTTTTCTTCTAATTTAGAAATTAAAGATCTTTTTAAATTGTCTGCTTGAATAAAAAATGGTATGCTATCACTTACAAGTATCATATTTCTTTACAATGAATGACGGGATTTCATGACACGACAGTATTTACATTTTTTATTAAAATAGGTATTTGGAAATTTCCCCAAATGTCTGGGTAATTTGGAAATTTCCTAAATATCGGGTTATCTTGAAAATTTCCCAAAAGTCTGGGTATCTGGGAAAAATTCCTTAAATATCCAGTCATTTCAGAAATCTTAGAAATATATTTCCCAGATTTAAGAAATTTCCCAAATTCCTTTAGGTATTTGAGGGTGGTATATTTTTAGGATTTTTTAATTCTCAAATGACGGGATTCTTGGGAAATTTCCCAAAAACAAGGCATTTGGGAAATTTCCCGGATTCCCATGCATTTGGGAATTTTTCCAGATACCCTGGCATTTGGGAATTTCCCAGATGACCAGGAATTTTGTAAATTTCAAAGATACTTAGGCATTTTGTTTTCCCAGATACCCAGTCATTTGGCAAATTTCCCAATAAATCTAGGCATTTGGGAAATTTCCCGGATACCCAGGCATTTGGGAAATTTTCCAGATACCCAGGTATTTGTGAAATTTCCCAAATTCCTTTAGGTATATGAGTTTTGTATATTTTTAAGGTTTTGGAAATTTCTCAAATTGCTATATATTTGGGGAATTGATTCATATTTAAAATAATCTCTTCCAGGAGTTTTCTATTGACTCGATGTCCCAGAGTTTGGTTTCTGTCTCTAGTTTAGTCAAAGATCTATCCTGGGATGATTTGAATTCACAGACACATACAGACAATAGAAGGTAATTAAAGGGAGGGAAGGGGGGAATATGCAAGATAATTCAAGGGAGAAAGGTTGGGGAATCTGTAACATACTTGTATTATTAAGGATTTGCATTATGCGAGGTACTTTAGGAGAGAGAGGGGGAAGAGGAAACACACATTTTAGAATTTTTATCTATGCTCCATTTTAGAATCCTTGACCTAAAATCCCGTGACTGGGAAACTGCTAAAATAACATCATAATTATTTTATATTTTAAGATGTAATCCGGCAGTCTCCTCCTCCTCCTTATCCACCACCTCTATCACAATGCTCAACAAAACCTTTAGCATAGATAAGACCAAGAGTAAGATGAATAGAACCCTGGATCTAGATGAATTAGAACTAAAACTAGAACACAAGGATGAAACTAGGAGCAAGCTAAATATAACAATGGATCTAGATGAGATAGAACTTATCTCAACATACAAGGTTAAGCCCATGAGTAGACTAAACAATACTCTAGATCTAGATGAAAAAGAACTTCCTTCAACATACACGGATAAGACCAGGAGTAGACTGAACACTACTCTAGATCTAGATGAACTAGAACTTACTTCAACATACAAGGGTAAGACAAAGAATAGGCTGAACACTACTCTAGATCTAGATGAACTAGAACTTACTTCAACATACATGGGTAAGACGAAGAATAGGCTGAACACTACTCTAGATGAACTAGAGGATATGGAGAAGTTTGAACCCTTTCAAGGAAGAGTGAATAAGTATGGTTGGAAGAATGAAAGTGAATTGAAGAAAAATATTGGATTACCTGGAAGAGGAACGGACTGGTTGAGGGAAAGTGAAGAATTACGATTTGATGGATTTCAGGGGAAAAGAAACGATCATCAAATCCGTCCCAGCAGTAACGAACGTAGTGGGAGCCAAGAGCGAGGACGTTTTTGTCTTGATTCGTCTAAATTAGAAGAAATTGAAGCACTAGGTTCAAGTCCCATTCAATCATGCTTCGAAAATAGGTATATTTATTTTAACTCTTTAGAGATTTTTTTGTTAAAAATTAAAATGAAGTAAAGGAAATTTTCGCCCAAATGTATTTAAGCGACAAGAAAAACTACGTTACCAGAGGTCAAATGAAGAATTTTAGTTGCTTTAACCAAAAATTTCTTTTCCTTTTAAAGTTAAGCATTTCATGTAAAAAATATATGAAAATGTTTTATATAATTAAATGTCTGTTCTTAATTATATATTTTTGTTCAGATTGGACCAAACAATTGAGATATATTCAACTCCTTCACCTCTCCTAGATGACTCCTTTGAATCCTATCACACACCCCCTGAGTCAGATTTCCTTTCTAAGATCCTGTTTCAGAGAACTCAATCCTTACTCAGGTCTAGAACGAGATCTAATAAGAAGAAGAATAGAAAGGAATCTGTGACCGATTCAATTTACAAATCCGTAGAAAAGTCTCCAAAAGTTTCCCTTGAGTCTTTAGATGAAGGATCCAATTTAGTCATTCAATCCCTAGAAGAAGCCTCAGATACAATCTTAAAGCATCAAAATGAGTCTTCTAAAAGAAAACTTCAACCCCAAGAAGACTCCCCAAATCGATTTCTACAAGACAGCAAGAAGTTTGCAAAAAGTCTTGTCAAACCAAAAATAGACTCCACATGTAAAAACCAAGAAGACTCTTCGGAGCAAGGATATGAATGCAAAGAAGACCTCAAAGATCAAGAACAAATCCCACAAGGCAACGATGAATTCTATGAAATGGCCTTTCCAAAGCAAAAAAGATCCATGGCTACAATCCTGCAAGAGGGTGATGATTCCTTGGATCAAATCCTTCAACCCCTCGAGGAATCCTTTGAACTAATCCTACAACCTCAAGATCAAATCCCACAAGACCTAGAAGAATCTTCTAGATTGTTCCTTCAACCCGGAGAAACCCACAAAGGTGAAACAATGATATTATTGGTTTCTAATTTATATCAGGGCTTCCTGGATTTCCCAATAATTATTATTGCTCAAATTATTTGATAATGGAAAGCACTAGTTATTGGATCAGTAATTAAGTTAAACATTCTTCATCTAACGAAACAATATTAAATTTGAAAATAGATAGTTTGTGTAAATGTGTGAAACATTTTTCCTTTGAGGACGAGGTTCGCTTTCTAAATAAAAAAGCTTTTTTCTGTTCTATGAATTAATACATAGTTATTTAAATATTTTTAGATTATTCAGTAGTTTTCAAACATCAAATAAGTAATGAATTTTTCATCAGAGTTTTCAAATAACTTCGCAAGGCATTTTAATCAATCTCTTAAATACTATTCACTGCACTGAGAAATCAATGAAACTTTGTCATAAAATCTATGAACAAGTCGAAGATCAATAACAGTCTAGAAGTAAAACCTATATCTTAAATGATCCTTCGTTTCAAGCATCAGCCTTCTAATTTTCGCATTTTTAAGTAAAAATTATGAAAATATGACATTTTTTACTACATTTTGAAATGGTGGTCTTTAAATAGAGAATAATTTAAACACGGTTGATAGTCTGTTTAACTATGTATAGTGTATACAATATTTTCAATGATTAATTGATATTTATTTTCTGTAGAAAATGTACTTTGATAAACTTTTTACTTATTGTATTTCCTATTGTATTTGTTTTTTTCCATTATAAAAGTATAATCTTTTTATTTATAGGAGAGTGTGCTTTGACCAACAAAGATCTAGACGCATGTATAGGGTATAAATTTTGATTATTGAATATTTAGCAAAATCGTCATTTATCCATACTTATTTTCTTTTTTGCCTATAACCTTTTAACAATTTTTTTTGTTTAGTGAAAATGTTGTTCCTGCTAAAGCCTTAAAACTTGGTGAACATGATATAAGTGTCTTTCACAACAATCCTGGAAATAGTTTGAATGAACCCACAAACCTCTCTGATAAGGAAAATAGTGCCTCTAATCTTTATATCACACCTGATCCTCTACCTTGGAACCAAAACATATCACAGACCGAAACCGCCAACCTGTACCAGCCAGTCAGGAAATGCAGTGAGGAGTCTGATACCGCTGGACTCTATGGGATAGAGTCTGATATTAATGACGTGACGGCTACTAAACCCACCAGCCTCTATGGTATAGTGGAGGCCGTAAAGTCTATGGAGGCCGTTGGTTTCTACTCTAGTTCTAGTATAGATATAGAACATCAGGGTGCATGTAACCCTCATGTAAACAGTGATAGTACTATTCATGCTGTACAGTGTACGCCTGTACTAGACCAAGAAAAGTTGTACAATTGTGAATTTAATTCTAGTAATATTAATGTTTACAGTGTTTTAAGAAATGAAAAGACAACCCCAGGATTAAATACTGACAGTGAGTGTCAAGCTACATATACCGGGTATTCAACTGAAGGTATAATACAGGACGTATGTACAGTAAATGAAGATGTAGTCATAGAACCTTGTCAACTAAAGGAAGATGTAGAACTAGATCCTGGTCCATTAAATAAAGAAGTATCTCTGGAACCTGGTCCACTAAAGGAAGAGTTAGCACTGGAACTTGGTCCACCTGGTCGACTTCAGGAAGATGGAGCACTAGACCCTGGTCCACTAAATGAATATGAAGCACTAGACCCTGGTCCTTTGAAGGGAGATGTAGCAGTTGCCCCTGGTCTACTAGAGAAAGATTTAGCACTGGTTCCTGGTCCACTGAAGAAAGATGTTGTGTTAGACTCTGGCAAAATAACGAAAAAAGTAGCACTTAATCTTAGAACACCAAATGAAGAAGTAGCACTGGAACTTGGTCCTCTGAAGAAAGAAGTAGCAGTGAATCATGGTTCATTAAAGGATGAAGTAGCAGTGGACCCTGCTCTTCTAAAGGAAGAATTAGCACAAGAACCTGGTCCATTAAAGGAGGATGTAGCACTAGGTCCTTGTCTAGTAAAGGGAGATTTAGCACGAGGTCCTTGTATAGTAAAGGAAGATGTAGCACTAGAACCTGGGCAAGTTAAAGAAGATGATGTGAAGCTTAAAGAAGATATTAATATTCCTTTAACTCCTGAGACCAGAAGAAGGTAAAAAATTTGTCGATCAAGTTGTCAAAGGGTTGTCATGTTAGTTTAAAAAAAATAATTTTATGTTGTCTCATAGTTTTTTTTGTGAACAATTATTTTTATCGTTTATGAAAAGCTCTTCCATAATCTCATAAAATATTTTAGCTTTTTGTGAATGGGGACGTGGATTCCAACATGTGATTTCTTTTACGAAGAAAAAAACTGAGATTGAAATTTTTGAATAAAAAAAGGAGTAATCTTCATTCTTCAATCGCATAACTCTACAGTGGAAACTTTTAATCGGAAGTTATTATACTTAATCCGTTTAGAACAGCAGACTTGTGTTTTTGCGATCTCGATTGACCGAAAGCAGATCTAAATCTCTCAGACCACACAAAACACGGATTAATTTAGTCTGAATATCATTACAAAAGTTCTGACCTTTATGCCATGTTTCAACTACTGTTTGGATGTGATAGATAATAAAAGTTCACGATTTGCTGAGGTTAAGATAAAATCATGAAACCCAGGTTAAGCATTTGTGATGGGTTTAGAATTAAGTTAAGTAACAGAGAAAATACGGATTAATCCTGAAAAGATTACTTTGTATCGTGATAAAACTCGATTCTGACAAGAAACTTCAAGTTTTACCATTCCTTTGAATTTTCATGATATTTGATAATAAACGAAACATAAAAACAAAACAGTAAACATTATTTACCATTTCTGACTTTATTTCAAATTATTTTTAGGGTGGATCAAATTATTTATTATTTTAAAATTTTTACAAAAATCTTGGTTTGAAATAGTTTGTTAAATGTTTTGAGGCTCGGTAATTAATTGAACGGTTGTAAATGAATTATATTTTAGTAACTAGGTTAACTTTAACTAGTCAAATCAAGAAAAGGATTATTTTTTTTTTATATTTTTGTCAATTTCCTAGGAAATTAGGTAAATTCCGTTTCAGTATTTAAAACTTTTGGTTGATTTGAGTGATTTAGAATATTGTAAAAGTAAATATGTGTTAATTATATCTTTCTATTATTTTATTCATCATTTATATTTGTCGAAAGCAAAATTTCATTAAACAATATAAAAGTTAACAATCTAATACTAGTACTCTTTTCTCTGGATATCGCATATTATGATTGACAGGGTTTGCCAAAAAACAGGTGCCATACAAGACTTTTAGCATGTGTATTGAGTATAGTTTAGTTATTCAGAGGTGGTTTTCAGAAATGGAGTTTCATGTTCCCAGTCTAGTGTTTTTCGTTTTCTAAAAATGTGGTATGATGACATCACTGCAAGGCTTGATAGATTTTCGCACATTGCTTTGAAACTAACACAGGGTTTTTAGAACTTATGCAGTTTCTTTAGATTTGCTTTATTTGATGGTGAGATATATTCTCTTGAGCCGATTTCAAAAGGGTGAACAGACACATCCCTAGTTGTTATATCTGTGATAAAAATCATAAAATGTTTATGCTAGTTCATCTTTTGAGTGTTGGCATTTTTTATATTTGTTTCCAATAAGACAGTAAGCTCAAAAATATCCATCTTCTCCTCCATTCTATCGATAGCATACTAGATCTGGTTTCTGTGCGGTCACAAGGAGGTGGGGGGGGGGGGACGGTACCTCCCCCTGGAAGGGTATGGGACGGGATGTCGGCATACATCAAAAATCAGCAAATATCAATTAATCCAGTGATATATTTAATAGGATTGCTGTCCCTCCAAGCGGTCACCTAGGAATACTTTTTAAAGGAATTTTTTAAAGGGAAACCCGTCAGTAGAGAAGTTTTCCGTAAATACACGAGAAAGTTGATTTATACAGGGTGTTGATATAAAGCTGAATTTCTGCAGGGACATTAAACCTTTTGAGGGTATGTATGATGGATATGATGAGAGGGTGCGGTACTGAACCAAATATATCTTCTAAATCGAAAAATGTTACATGGACCGGTTTCTTTGGTTGCTTGGCTTAAAATCTCTTCAAGGATGACATTTTTTATTTTACCCCTTTTTGGAGAAGAGATTACTGTAAACTCTGTAAACAGAATGCCACCGAATTAAGCAGTAAATGACACTTAGTATTGTAAATTTTAATATTGCGTTATCAATCCATTAACGTATTTTTAAGGTTTATTTTGAACGTATTTTGTTCAGATTGCGACCTTTTAACCGACTTCTAGAAAAACTACAGATGTCTTCAGATCCACTCCTCGACTCAACCTATAGCCAGGGGTAAGGGTATAGTTAAAACGGTGAAAAATCGTTTGCACTCATCGGACTAACGTACATTCGTACTAATGAAACTTAATTGTTCAATCAAACTAACATCCGCGTGGAAGATTTTTTGAGCACGTGAAGAATTATCTTTTTAAATTCGGCTCATTTCATTGAATAGCTTCATTGATCATATTTTAGTAGGAATGAACAAAAAATGTTCAATTGTGCTAAAGCTAAAAGTGTGGGTAAAAACGAAGTTAGTTGAACATATTTTGGTGCAAAGGAACTAAAAAAGTTCAGTCGAACTAAAATTCAAAAATCCACCATGTTGCCCTCAAATTGTAATTAAAATGATAAAAACAATTATATTCCGTTTAAACAAGGTTTTGGTTGGAAATGTCTATTTGCACTAATGTTCAATTGCACTAATAATATTTAAAAATAAAAACATTTATAGTCCGTTTAAACAAATTTTTTGTTGCTAACACGTTCAATTGCACTTAAAATTACAGAAAAAAATTAGTTTGGTTTGAACAAATATTTTCAGTATTCCAGCCCAATTGCACTAGGGATAATTTGTACTAAATATTCCTGGCGAGAAAATAAAATATTCCTGGCGGGAAAATAAATTATTCCTGTCGGGAAAATAAAATATTCCTGTCGGGAAAATAAATTTTAGCCCAATTGAACACAGTAAAGCTTGATTTGTGTTCATTTGCACTATAATGTTCAATCGTAATACAAACCTGTTTCTGATTAGCTGACTATTAGTGCAAATGTGCGTTAGTTCAATTGGACAATTATGTGCAAACGATAGCATCGTTAAAACCAGAAAACTGTAAAATGTGAAGACGACATTATAGCAATACTTTAGCATACTATAGCATGCAAACAATTTTACAATAACACATTAAATCAGTTAGGATAAATAGGTCTCCTTACACTGCAAAATATCTCATGTTTATTAGACTATTTAAAGTCATAACTTTGAGTCTAAAAGTCGTCTTCTTATTCGAGAGTTCTCACTGTAGACGGATACATATACTTTCTAGTAATTTTTTGCAATGGAGGGCATTAGTAGATGTTAGATTTTAAAACTTCCTTATTTTTAGGTAGAAAATATCATATTTAGGTAGAAAATATCATATTTAGGTAGAAAATATCATATTTTTAGGTAGAAAATATCATATTTTGTCGTAAAGGATTAATCAATTTAACCATATTGCGTTAAAAACTGAAATATTTTAAGGTTTTTGACAGGTCAGCAAATTCAAAATTTATTTGATTCTTTAAACATATAATAATAAAATTTATTTGATTCTTTAAACATATAATAATAAAATTTATTTGATTCTTTAAACATATAATAATAAAATTTATTTGATTCTTTAAACATATAATAATAAAATTTATTTGATTCTTTAAACATATAATAATAAAATTGAATTTTTTTACAGGAAGAATTCTTTGTTTGATTCCCAATACTCTACGGGAGAAATACATTCGCTGGTTGCTAGGTAAAAAATGTTTTTATACCCCCACAACCAATCAAAACTTTGCACGGCGCAAATGATATTTTACAAGGCTATTTTTAATTTATTTAAATTTTGCATTATTCGACCCTCAATCCTTTTTTGAAGATTGTAATTAAAAATTATGAAATTTTAAAGATGATAGAAGCTGGAAAGCGAACTCATCTCCCTTAAAAAATTTAAATCTACATATAATGTTAAATGTTAAATCTGTAGAAATTCAAGCTTACAATCTCTGTAATCTAAGCATTAAATGTCCTGTTTACGAAGGGGGAAAAGTTTCATTTTGGAAATTATTTAAAATATTTCTAAAATTATTTTAGTGTTTCTTTATCTACCGATATGGAATCTAGTGGTTTCTACTCAGATATAGGTAAGAATAATGATAATGCAAATATATGATAGCTTCGAATTTTATATTGATATCTGAACTGAAATCTTGTACAGTGTTTCCCAGTAAACATGAGAATTAAAGGAAGTGTTCGCAAAAAATGAAAGGGGGTATAGGATGACGGCGAAAAATAATCGCTTTTGATCGCTACCATTCTTACTTCTATCTGTTGTTGTTGAGAAAATAGTTAAAAACGACTTATACTGAAGAACGTATGCGTTAATACAAATTCAGAAAGTTGCAATATTCTACTGTAATCGTAAAAAATCTTTAATTTCAAACAAATCATTCAGATATTACAACCTAAAGTCATCGATATTTTTCGACGCATTCGTATATAGTTAATGTTTCATAATATTTTTAATTCGTTTTGTATACAATTAAAGCACTTAAAACGCCGAAATAGTTGGCCGCCAGATGTCTCTACTCTCGAAGCTTTAAATGATTATATATGGCAGAGACACCTATATAGCGGAATAAAATTTGTGTTAAGTGCATTGTATATAAAACAAATATTATGAAATAATAATAACTATATTCGAATGCTTCCAAAAATAATCGATGACTTAAGGTTGTAATATCTGAATGATTTGTTTAAAAATTAAATTAATTATTTTACCATACGAGTCGTATATTGCAACTTATTGAATTTGTATGGACGCTACTTTCTTAAGTAAAAGTCGTGTTAACAATTTTCTCCTTATAAACGCTACAGATAGAAGTAAGATTAGTAGCGAACAAAAGCGATGTCAGAGCTACCTGTTTTTTACCTTTTGAAATGACTGATGTATTAAGAATATCCCCCCCCCCATATTAAATCAATTATCTAGATTTTAAATATCTGCTATTTTTTAAGATGTTAAGATAGAAGACAATAATTTAAAAACCCCAAACTTGTCATATTAAAATTTCTTCAACGGGATACCGTGTATCTTTGTGACCCTCATTTTGTTCCTCTTTCCATTTCATTCCTGGTTTCCATTTTCTGTGTCATTATCCAATATGGATACTCTCCATCTAACCATCCTTATTTCTCTGCCCGTCCCCTAATCCCATATCCTCTTAAATGAGGGGAGGATGGCCAGCCACAACTTCTCGTCCGAGCCACATTCTCCTCATTTTCTCGATATGAAATATAAAATAAATTGCAAACTATTTGGCATACCTATGCCAGATGCCTATCATTTTTCCCCGTGGAATCACCCGGAATCTATGGTTTTCACTTTAATTAAGAAAAAAGATTGAAGTTCTATAATCTCGGAATTATTTGCGGCATTCTACACCAAGAATATCTGAAAATGCGTGTAAAAAAGGTGAACATTTTAAGGACACAGAACTCGAAAAATTTTAATTCAATTGAATCTATTTTTGTTCGATTTACTAATATTCAATATTTCATTTATGCCCTAACGTGGCCCGATTCTTAAATTGTTTCATCTTGGAGGACTAAACACTTTTAAAAAATAATATTGGAAGGACGGGGATTTAGAGATGGCTCGGACGAGAAAGTTGAGGAGAATGTGGCTCGGACTAGAAATTGTTGTGGCTGGCCTTCCTCCCCTCCTTAAATTCGTTTAGAGGATTTGTTTAATTTTAGATTTAATTGAATTGTCTTATTGTCTTTTCTTCAGACGGCAGAATATCGAAGAATCAAGAAGAAAAATCGTTGGCAGACGTAGAACTACTGCCGCGGGATGGAAAAGACGATATTCACAAAGTGGTGATAATAGAAGAAGGCGACTTTAAGATTCATGGAATATCTCCACTTTCCAGACAAATTTGTCGGAACGAAGGTAAAGCATATTAGAAAAAGTTCATTTCAAGGGTGTCGTTAACGCTGACAGTTTTAATCTTTATCAAAGAAAGAATAAATAAGTTTACCTGAAATTCACAGTTTGCTACCATGGTGTTTTTTTTCAAGCAATTTGTGTGTGCTGCTATCTAAGATATTCTTTGACAAAGATTTAATGTATAATTAAAGCACTTAATGTTAACGGCACTTTTGATAACAAAGGGTCATTAAAGTTATCAAACTTAGTAAAAGTTAATTTTTTATATTTAAAATGATCTTCTAGGTTCCGGAGTCGATACCGAGGAGTTCCGTCCTGTGGGACCAATAACCAGAGAAATTAGCCTAGATCGAAGCACTCCGGATATATCTGGGTTCTCAAATCAGGAATTATCGGAGGTAATATACGGAGTATCCAACCAAGAGATTTTGGAGGCAGTGTCCGGTGTTTTTAACCAAGATATATCGGAGGTTGCTGAAGGGAAGGATCCAAAGAAAAGGCCGGAGCAGATAAATAATTCTAAGGTAAAATATGTATAACAATTGTTAAAAGTAAAAACCGTCGCGCATTTGAATATATCTTTTTGATATGAACGTCTGGTATAACCTGAGGCTAAGACTTTTGTATAGTTAAAATCCCTTTAAAAGTAGTAAACTTCTTATATGGATCGACAGACTGCAGGGGTGGATACAGAATTTAAGTGATAGGGGTTCTAGATTTATTTCAGAACAAAAAAAAACCAGATTTAGGAACAAATAAAACGTGCCGTAGGCGAAATTTTTTTTAAATAGATATTTTTCCTGTTTTGCACTTTGTTTTCTTTCCCTTAAGTGCTTGTGAGAAGCTATTCTGAAATCTCAGGGGGTTGCGAAGGTCCTGCCGCCCCCCTGAATCCGCCCCTGTCGACAGATTTAGTTTATTTCTTTTTGAATATTTTTAATGACGACAATTGAAACCTAAAGAAATCAGAAGTCACAAAAATTCCGATCTTTTCTAACGATAGCTTGCGAAAATATGCTTTTGCGGTTTCATATCTTGTGAAGCACTTAATAGCTTCAAAAAATGTTTTTACTGTGGCTATCAAGCTCATGGAGGTTTTAGAACAGTGCTTTCTAATACAACAGTTCACTAGCTGTAGAAAACATAATTGTTAATCTTATAAAACTGTTTCTAAAACGATATGTATATTTAAGACACCATGGTACTGAGTATGACATGATAGTTTTGTATTATTGTTTTACAGTTTACAACTAGAGGCCTGATCTAACATAATGAAGTTGATATTTGATCCTGTATATATGAAGTGTATACTAGAGTATTTATGCATCTATAATACTAGCATAAAGTCGGTAAAATCAATGGATTTTATTTAGTAGAGTCTTGTAGATTATCTGATCGATCAAAGCCAGGAGCCATGCTAAAGTGAAATACATATATAAAATGTTTCTTTCATAACGGAGGGGTCAACATGGTGAGGAGAAAATTGTATACAACTAACACTATTTGGTTCTCAGGGTAGTAAAATTATTTTATTCTGCTCAATCAGAAAATTAAGGTTCCATGAAATAAACAGTTTTAAAAATGAATACGCAAAAATACAAATAAAACAAAACCTATGATTTTTCAGCAATTTTTTAGTTTGAACTTGGGCTGGGCAACGTATAGTTAACGAAACGTAAAGTTTTTGAAAATTAGCGGCTATTAACAAACGGCTCCCTGAAAACTAATAGTTAACCCACGGTTTGAAAAAAGCCTAAATATTAATCCTTACTTAAGCTATTTCCAAGAGCGGTATCTTATTATTATAGTTCATAAAAATCGTAAGCTAAAGTTTTTCAGTTCATTTTCTAATATTTGGAGGAATGGATAAACTAAATGTTTAAAAGAAAAAAAATTGTTTGGGATTCGGCCGAAAAAAGCGCCCCCCCCCCCCCTCCACGTTTCAGATTTTTAATGAACATGACAAGTCTTATATTTTTTAACTTTTTTACTTAAGTTTTGTAAAGTTATAGATGTCAGTCTTCAATTGAACAAAAACGGGAAAAAATATATCTGAGATTAAGATGTCATACGTCAAAATGGAGTGCAAAATATGACAAGTTGAACTGCAAAAACTACATGATTAGTCAATTCGGATGTGAGATGTTATACGTCAAAGTTTATAATCTAGATATTTTGAATTATTTTTTAATTGTTGAAAGCATAAAATTATTGTATATTTACTTTGAAAGCAGTTAAAAGAAAAAGAATAATATAAATGAGATTGTAGTTTTATTTGAATTTTGAAAATAGGATTAATTTAAGAGAGAGATCCTATCTTCCACTATTTTTAAAGAACTTTTTAAATTAGACTTTCAAAATATCGGAATGCACGGGCACAGCGGCTTAAAGGAGTGTTTACAAATAAAATTTAAGGGGGTTCTGGAGAAACCGGGTTGGAACTTGAAATCCATATTTTTATCTAATGTTTTGTAATGAGAAAATTAAAAAAAAGTTTTTTTTGCATAGAGCGAAGATGCCCAATTAATTCCCGTAGATGATGTATGCAGTCAAAACATTAATTATTCAATTAATTTTATGCTGATTCTTAATTTTTTGCAATGAATTTTCGTCATTCTCTTTAAGGTTTTCTGTGTGATGTATTAACACATAATATTAAAATTTTACCAATCAAAATCCTTAACTGATTAGGGCTATTTCACCTTTATAGAAAAGGTATGATCTTCTCTAAAAACCTTGTCCCTTAGAGATAACCTAATTTTCCAGGACGGGTTAAGAACTGGTCTCAAGGGGTTAAACCAATCTGACGCAAGAAAATCCAATCTCAGGTTGGTTTTTCTTAACCTCAAGAATTTTATATTTAGCTATCATATTATGGTAGAATAACTGATACCTACACTTTTTATTTTCTAACCTTATTTTAAAAGATGCTTCTTGTGAAAGTGTTAAAAATAGGAAACTAAAACCTTTACAAGATTTAGGAATTTTCCCATTTAGCACTTTCCCAAGGGCATTTTCCAAATGTGCAAATTCACAAATGGATCTTTCCCAAACTTGGGGAAGTTCATTTTTGTAAACTACATTTGTGAAGTTTCTATTCAGGAAAATTCTTTTTTATAACTGTCTTTAGTAAAGAAAGTACCTGCATCATTTAATTCTTAAATTTAGTAAATTTATCAAATTCCCTTCCAGTTTGAAATAAAGGTGGTGGTTTAAGTCTGATTTGATTTAATTTGGGACTTCTTCTATTCCTCAATACAACTTATTGTCTTCTATTCCTCAATACAACTTACTTTTTTCAATTCCTCAATACAACTTACTGTTTTCAATTCCTCAATACAACTTACTGTTTTCAATTCCTCAATACAACTTACTGTTTTCAATTCCTCAATACAACAATTACTGTTTTCAATTCCCCAAATTCCTCAATACAACAATTACTATTTTCAATTCCTCAATACAACTTACTGTCTTCAATTACATTCGGCAACATTTCCCGCGGTGAATTTTCCTTGTTAAGATCTGAGAGGACTGATCTGGGAAAGGTTAGAGTAGGAGCTTTAGGAGCTAAAGGTGGAGGAGGAGGGGCTGTTGGAGCTGTAAGAGCTAAAGGTGTAGGAGGAGAACTAGCAACCTCCTCATCAACCATGTCAACAAAAAGAAATACAAGGTAGTATAGGGTTATTCTTTAAAGGGATTTATCGTGACTTTTCTGAATAAATGGTCCAAATATAGTTATAAATCCATTACCTTCTAGAGGTTTTGATTAAATTTAAATCTTCACCCATCTAAAGCAAATAAATGGCAATCCAACTGTTGTGCATCAAAATTTTGCATTTATTATTGCATCATATGTACATACAAATGCTTGTGTATCATTGTATCATTATCAAAGATACTTTTGAATCTCATAGTTAGATTTAATATTAATTGAGTAGTGTTAATTTAAAACTCAAATTAATTACAGCTTTCTACGTTTTTAAAAGGTTGTTACGAACTAAATCATTTGGACAACTATGTGCTCAGTAAACTAGAATCTCTGATGTAATTGTAGTAAATCAAAGTAAAGTTTAAAGTATTTTTAACAGATTTTCTTAGTCCATGGGAAATTATGATTTATGGCTTCTTTTCTTGGATCAAATACCTGAAGATGCATGATTGCTTTGGTTTTCGTTTATAAAACCATTTAATTAGGAAAAATTAAATTATTTTTCATAAAGAATTTTAAAAAAATCTGACATCCTAAATGGCTAGATTTTTTTCAGTGAGCCTGTAAAAGCTCGAGCAAGTAAACCTGCTGCGAAAATACGTAAACCTGGAAAGTGGGATGCAATCATGGATCGGTTAGTTACATTAAACGTTATAATTTGCTGAATTATGATAATAATAATGATAATTAATTAAATCCAAATTTAGCAAGTTTTATTAGAATTCAAAAGTTTTTAAAAACTATTTTTCTTCTTTATCCAAATATTCCAGTTTTTTCTTTTCCATGGATTTAAATAATTTTCTACTTACGTTTGACTTTTAATTCTCGCCTAAAAACGTTCATTCGTTTTTTTATATCGATCCGTTGTTATGGTATCAAACTATTGAATTTATTTAAAATAAAATTAAATAAGATGATTAATCTTGAAGTTCTTTTTTCAGAATAGAACGGAGTAAACAGAGAGATGGAAAACCTACGTCAGACCAGGTTAGTTTAATTTTATTTTTATACTTCCATCGCTTTGAAGTGTATATATTTAGTTATTATCTCACCTCATAATATTTGAAAAAAAGTAAATTCATTCATTTTCCCCAAAAGTAAACATTCAGGAAAAATAAAGTCATGAATTTTTCCGCTTTGTCTTTCATTGAAGGGACTGAGGAAGCAGGGTGATTTTTCACAAGTATACGTACAATGAAAAATCTTGTAAATTATATGTTTAGGCGTTCAAGTCACCAGGAAGCCAATCATCAAGGTCAAACTTGTCCAGAGAAGAGAGCAGCATGAGTTCCAGGACACAGGACATATCCTCTCATATCAGGACACAGGACTTGTCCCGCACCAGTTCCAGGACGCATGATGTATCCCATGGCTGCAGGACACAGGATTTGTCCCCCATGAGCTCGAGGACACAGGATTTGTCCTCCTTTGGTTCTAATGATAGTCTTCATGATAGGATACTACTAATGGAAGATACAGCTGGTAGTCTTAGTGGACAGGACTTCAGTCCCAGGTTGTCATTAGTGTTTTCACTTCGTTTTCACTTTGTTTTCACTTTGTTTTCACTTTGTTTTCACTTTGTTTTCACTTTGTTTTCACTTTGTTTTCACTTTGTTTTCACTTTGTTTTCACTTTGTTTTCACTTTGTTTTCACTTTGTTTTCACTTATATTTATACATTTTTATTGGTGTCAGTTTATAATAATTTTCTTAATTGTTTTAATTTATTGTAGAAGTAGTGTGACTGGATCTCCTAAACGTAAGCTTGGTAAACTGCAGAACAAGGAGAACATGGAGGATAGGTTTGTAGGAGCAAATTCCCCTCCCCCCCTTTTTTGAAAATCATTTTTTGTTCACCCAGAAATGGGGGTATGCATAAATATTGTTTAGCGGAAATAGGAAAAATAAATAATTTTTTGGGTAAAACGTTTCCAATGTGTACAAAAAGTTGCAAATTTTTAATTTTTTCTTTCCTGGGCAGTAGATAACATTCTTGTGGCTTGTATTTCTATTCCATTCGTTATGGTGATTGAATAATTCACAATACCTTGATGTCGGAAGGTTTATTTATATATTTTTTTGATTTTTCAAAATTATGATGTTGCTAGGAAGCGACCTGTTACTGCAGACGGACCTCCTCCTGGTCGTAGACAGGTAGGATTTGACATCTTGTACTCATCATTGGAAGCAATTGGTGTTGGCTTTGCCAGTGCCATTGGCATCGTCATTGGCATTGTCGTTGACATTTACATTGGCATTGGCAATATCATTGGCTTTGGCATTGACTTGTCCAATGTCCATGCAATGAACGGTCAACTATCTTTTCTAGAAACTCTAAAAAATGTCTTTTTATGTTTGCTTTATTACATAAAATCATGTGAAGCTTACAATTGTTAAATTAGCAAAACTAATTGAAATCTCTTCTCTTTAGATTAACTCATTCTTATCCCTCTCATAGGTCAAGAGTTTACATGTTTTTTAAACGAGTTAAACTGATTTCACATTTAGACCAATTTATATCAGTTTTGCTGATTCTAATATACAAGTGTTTACCTTAACATTTCTAGTGACTAGTACAATTTACATTATCAAAATCTAAAAAAAAGCTTGTCTTATGCGACATTTGAGGCTTGTATTCATATAAAAAGGTTTTCAAAGTTTTTAGTTGTATTCTAAAGTAACCCTCCATAAGAGAGGAATGCCATAGATTAACAATGGTACCCTTTTAACATTTAATGATCAATAATGTAAAAGATATCGTCGTTTCTACAGATTGGAAAGTGTAAAGTCCTGAACAATGCTCCATTGGGTTTCACGCCACTTTTAATGGTAAACCACAATTGAAAATAATTGATGTAAAAGTTAAAAACATGGATATCTCATTCATTATTGATCTTAGGGTAACGTTGTTGATCGGACATGCCCCTTAATAGAGAATCAATTGAATGTACTTCTACAGTTCATTTAAGTTTGATAAAGATGATTTTTCCTCTAGGTTTTCCGGACAAATAGTACAAGCTCCCAGCCGCCGGTCAGATCAAATATTACCAAGAATGAGAACTCAGTTCTATCCCCGAAGAATATGTTAAGTCCGTCAAGTGAGAAAAGTGTGTTTATAAAACGTTTACCTCCATCAAGTAAACAAGGTTCCCCTTGTCCAGGACTGGCGGATAGAACAAGATCAGGCAGTAATACCAGCACAATATCAAGGTCATCATTATATTCAATTAAATTATTTTATCATTATGTAAACCTCCTTGTTCAAAGGTCACAGAGACCAAAAAGATAACTTGAAGCCTGAGATAGTTTTAAGTTAAAGATATATAAATAGGAATTTTTAAAAAACTAATGTTTTATTACTTGATCTTCCCAAGAAACAATGAAGTAACATAAAATGAGGCCATTTTTAAAAGTGGCCAAAATATTCCATTGTTATTTTATTTTAACACATCATTTCGCACAATTTAGTTCAAATATGATAACAAAAATTCTGTTAATTTTTATATGTTTTGAGGTCAACTGTTTCTTATCTTATGTATAATTTCACCATCGCATATTTAAGCTGTTATTTACGAACTGTGGATATTTATCTTATTTTAGAGTGTCTGTGAGTAGCCGTGTGTCAGCTGAGAGCAAGCGAAGTGTAACTAGCGGTCGATCTACAGGTAGGAAAATTTATTTAAACATTTAATTTATCATTCAGGATTTGGATTTTGATCAAATTTAGTTTTCTCCTGGCCTGCAAAAAGTGAGTAAAATGTAGATGGGTTTAAGTGAAAGGGTAGGAGGATCTACATTAAATATGGCCCATGGGTAGTATCAATTATACATAGGTATCAATATTACATTAGAATACCCCCTCCAATTTTTTTAATTAGTTAAAAAAATATATCAATTCAGTTCCAAAATCAAAATCAAAATTTACAGAATATTTATAAAATTGAAGAAAATTTGACTTGTTCAAGTTTGGTACAGATAAAAGAATTTTATGTATATATACATGTATATAATATATTAATGTATGATGTATATTTATCAAAATGTAAAATTCTGTAAGTTAAACTAAATTACTTTAAGATTAACTTTAAAAAGAAAACTTTTAGTAAGATAAAGTTTTAATAAAGTTATTAACTATTTTCTCAAAATGATATACATAAACATGTACAATGTACATTGTACAATGCAATCTACCCAATGATGAAAATAAATCAACGGACTAGACACTCGGACTGACATTGAATTGTTGCAAGGCCTCAGTCCTGTGACTAGTAATTTTTTTTGGCCCTTGATACTTTTTTGTAGCTCAGGAATTAGAGGTTCCAAAGGGGTTGAATAAGATAAGATAAGATAAGATAAGATATAGTCTATTAGAGGTTCCAAAGGGGTTGAATAAGATAAGATAAGATAAGATAAGATATAGTCTATTAGAGGTTCCAAAGGGGTTGAATAAGATAAGATAAGATAAGATAAGATAAGATAAGATATAGTCTATTAGAGGTTCCAAAGGGGTTAAATAAGATAAGATAAGATAAGATAAGATATAGTCTATTAGAGGTTCCAAAGGGGTTGAATAAGATAAGATAAGATAAGATAAGATAAAATAAGATAAGATAAAGTCTATTAGAGGTTCCAAAGGGGTTGAATAAGATAAGATAAGATAAGATAAGATATAGTCTATTAGAGGTTCCAAAGGGGTTGAATAAGGTAAGATAAGATAAGATAAGATATAGTCTATTAGAGGTTCCAAAGGGGTTGAATAAGATAAGATAAGATAAGATATAGTTTATTGCTAAAAATACACATACAAGTTATAATGTTACAGGCAAAAAATCTGCAACTATTTTTATATTGTTTACTATACTTATGTAATTCTAGCAATTAGGTGGAGATTAGCTATTTGCTGTTTTGGGTATTATCCCCACCTAATTAATATTAAAACGTTTACAATATGATGAATATTACTAGGTTTTGAAAGTTTACAATAAGTCAGGGAATACTAGTTAAATTTAGAGAGACCGAGGTGCAGCATAACAAAATAATTGATTTTTCAGTTTTATGTTTAGTACGTAATTAACAGAATAAGATTAAGCATCAAAAATCTACAAAGTTCTATATTCATTTTTTGCAAGAATAACAGAATTGCACTTTGAGATGTATGCGTCTGCAGATAACATTTAAAAAAAAAAACTTTTTTAAATATACCTGACGAGGCACTTCTTTTTAAATCAGGTGGCAGTTTATTCCATATCTTAAGAAGTGCAAATGAGGGAAGATATTCTAATGAGCCTGTATTTAAAATGTCAATTTGATAGTTAATAGATCTTTCAAAATTTCCGAGTTTTTTGAAAGTGTTGTTAAATGAGGAGGGTATTGGTTAAAAGTTTTAGTTTGAAGTAGTAACTAATAGATTTTCTCGGCAGCAAGTAAATATTTTAGTTTATAAGGTTCATGGTTCATAATTTGATAAATTTAGTGTAATTATGAATTAGGAGATGAGAAGTTAAAGTCGTCTTTAAATTAATTAATTTCATGAATTAAAAGAATTTAGCGGATTATCCATTCATTATCTGAAATCTATATTTTGATTTCTCAAATACAATTTAAACTTAATGAGATCTCTCTGCACACAATTCCAATCTTTTCTACGTCTTCTGATCAAAGATTTATATATATCTCAGAATTAATGAATTAAAATTTTTCCTCGAGCACTTGAACGGACTCTAAGTGTAATTTATATTGATCCTCAATACAAGAATGACAGTGCCTAAATCACAACGATACTCTTGAAACAAATTCTTCTTATCACTAATGTGGAAAAAAGTGTCGTTATTCTAGACTTAAAAGGGATTAATTCCAATAATTCCTATGCTTTCTTGCAGTTAAAATGCGTAAATCGCATTTGAGATAAATAACAATTGAAAAAATCGTTTTTCATAATTATAAACAATGATTTCTAATTCATACTCTATTACTATCAGACAATGGTTTGAAAGGGTACTTTTGTGAATCGGACATTGCCATATTACGCGCCTGCAGTCCCTTAAACTCTGAAGACTGAAGTAAAGGATGTCTGCTGAAGATAGTTAAGAATAGTAGAGGGTAGAGGGATGTAAAGTATGTACACTGTACAGTTCATTAAACTCTAAACCTTGAAGTGAAGTATGTCTGCTGAAGATAGTTAAGAAGAGTAGAGGGTAGAGGGATGTGAAGTATGTACACTGTACAGTTCATTAAACTCTAAACCTTGAAGTGAAGTATGTCTGCTGAAGATAGTTAAGAAGAGTAGAGGGTAGAGGGATGTTAAGTATGTACACTGTACAGTTCATTAAACTCTAAACCTTGAAGTAAAGGATGTCTGCTGATGATAGTTAAGAAGAGTAGAGGGTAGAGGGATGTAAAGTATGTACACTGTACAGGCCCTTAAACTCTAAACCTTGAAGTGAAGGATGTCTGCTGAAGATAGTTACAGGGTGGCCAAAATGTACGGATTGTACGGATTGTACGGATTGATTTTTTTTTAACCCTAAAATTGTACGGATTGTACGGATTGCACTTTTCGAAAATTGTACGGATTGTACGGATTTCTTCTGAAAATGTACGGATTTTTGTACGGATGGGTTCAAAAAAGTTTTGGCCACCCTGTAGTTAAGAAGAGTAGAGGGTAGAGGGATGTAAAGTATGTACAGGCCCTTAAACTCTAAACCTTGAAGTGAAGGATGTCTGCTGAAGATAGTTAAGAAAAGTAGAGGGTAGAGGGATGTAAAGTATTTACAGGCGGGGGAATAAATATAAAACCTTGATATGCTGAGGGAAATGTCGATATTCAAAGGGAAAAGAACAAAGAGTTAGGGAAAAACAAGGAGATTCGTTAAAGTTAATGTCATGAAAGAGAAGTNTTGAATGTATGAGATGACAGCTAGTGGTTATATTTTGGTTTATAAAGTGTTAACCCCTAAGTGCAAATCTGTCTGACCTTTGAAAGTAGAAGTGATGATAATGTTTGAACTAGAATCTAGATAATAGTTAAATACTTCAACATTATTATTATATATTATTATAATATTCAGGGGTGTGTGTGTACTGTCTTTTCTATCAAGCAGCAAATGATTCACTTTTTTATTTATTTAATTTCAGAAAGATCTTTTTTGGTTTAGTTTTAAGTCCAAGTTGACCCCTAACAGCTGGTGATTATCATTATTTTCCAACCGTTTGTATTAGAAGCATGCAAGCTGTACACTGAATGTTGTTAACAATAAATTATTAAAATAATACAAAAACGGCGCATTCAGTTTGTGTTTGGTGAAGGGAGATGGGGAAGANAAAGGTCAAAGTATAATTTCTGTATTTTGAATGTAGGCGTTCTCTTCATGAATAATTCTGGGGTTCGTAGATTGCGAATAATTTAGTTGCTAGACATGTTAAAACTATAGGACTGTTCTTATTTGGTTTTTGTAACCTGCAGAACTGTACAACATTGGTTTTTGGGTTACAGTACTTGATTCGGTTGGTTGTATGGATATCCCTGAAACTCGGATTTGATTTGACCTGGTACTGTTATAATTTTGATTTATATTGTTAAATTAGAATGATGAGTAACTGAATATATAACTAACACAAACTATAAATTATTTTAACATGTCAATCAAAATTTTTCTGAAAAAGAGTCGGAAAGGGAGATGGTTTGAAAAGATATTTATCTCTAAACCAATTGTTCTTCTAGATATATTTGTCTCTTTCTAATTTTATATCCTTCCCTTTTTCTTATTAATCACGCAACCTTTGTCTAATTTATTTCCTTAAAGTTGTTCATGTAACCTAAAATATATAGTTTTGCATTGAAAAAATACATTTTTTACCAGCTTCACCACCAATTAGCACTAGATAAACCTAGGTTTTCTCAGAGAATCTTGCTAATATATCCTTCAAGGAAGAGTCAAAACTTTTGTAATGTATAGACCTTGGTTTAATGGCTTTATCCAGGGATTTAGACAATAAGTTCAGCTAATTCCGAGCTGGAAACTCTTGTATTGTGGATATCGAGATCAATGCTTGATCTCTTTATTTGGTTAATCTGCAGATTAATTTAATATTCAATTATTTAAATACAAATTGTATATTTAATAATATATTTCAGTAGTACAACTGTTCCTACATCTACTAGATATATTTTTAAATAATACCACTGTCTCCTAGTTTCTACATTTAGTAGAAATAGATTTCAATAATACCACTGTCTCCTAGTTTCTACATTTAGTAGAAATAGATTTAAATAATACCACTGTCTCCTAGTTTCTACATCTAGTAACATCTAGTAACATCTAGTAGCAAAAACATTAAACAAATCCGGGCTGAAAAACCATCTCTCTGTCAGGACTCGAAACTCCAGGCTTATAGAATGGATCCTAAAGCTTTCCCTAACACTCATGATTTGATTTGATTTGATATATATATTTAAATAATACTACTGTCTCCTAGTTTCTACATTTAGTAGAAATATATTTCAATAATACGACTGTCTCCTAGTTTCTACATCTAGTAACATCTAGTAGCAAAAACATTAAACAAATCCGGGCTGAAAAACCATCTCTCTGTCAGGACTCGAAACTCCAGGCTTATAGAATGGATCCTAAAGCTTTCCCTAACACTCATGATTTGATTTGATTTG